AAAAAATAGTTATTATTACTATATACTTCAAGTATACAAGTTGTAAATGAATGTTTCTACAACCAGCATACCTTGCGTAACCATTAGTCGTCGAAAGGAAAAGCGAGGAATTATATACGTGTGTATGTATGTGTATGCGTGCGCGCGTATTATAGATGCGTGTGTGTATTACATCTGTGCGTTACAACTTACAACGCGTTCGTAGAGAAAGAAAAAAAAAGAATGTCTGTAACGAAGAGACTCTGATAAGAAGAACATATGTTGCGTGCGTATGCGAGAGCGCATATATACATATATATATATATATATATATATATATATATATGTTTGTGCGTGAGAGAGAAAGATAGAGAAAGAAAGAGTGCGAGAGACCGTATATAAGTGACACACACACACACACACACACAACACACATAAGGAAAAACAATATATTAATTATTGCGTGGTACGAACAGAACTGTGATATTTTATTGTATAACTCTGCGAAAGAGAGAGATGAGAGAGAAATATGAAGAGAGATCTCTAAAAGGAGAATATACTATTACGTGAGAGAGAGAGAGAGATTGGGGGAGAGATTGAAAGAGAGAAAGAGAGAAAGAGAGCGAAGAGGGATATTATTGTATTTTACAAAAAGTGCATCCTTAAACGCAATTAAATGCAATTGTGCGGGAACTGTACATACACCTGGTGTCTCTCCTTTTAAAGGTATAATAGGATACCCTTGATTTTTCGAGTTTCGATTGCGTAAGTAATGCGTATATATTATATATAAACGTACGAAAGAGACATTTTATTGTTCGATAAAAAAAAAAAAGAAGGGGATGAAGCTCTGTCCAGTCGTTCTCGCGACTCTATGTGAGGATATGCTCGGTGTTCTCGGGCCGCGCGATCGGCCCATCGTCTGATCGTTTCCTGTTTGTAAAGATATATGTATAAAAAAAAAAATATATATATATATTATATATATATACATACATGTATAAACTAAATGTGTCGTGAAAACGTATGCACGGAGCACTGCGACGACGTGTCGAATGATCGCAAACGGAGAAAGAGAAAGAGTAATAATTAGTGTATAATAATTGTGTCTATAAAAAAAAAAATATTCGAAATATGCCGAGCGATAAACCGATCATCCCCCACCGATCATCCTCCTCCCCCGGTGCATTTTGTCCCACAATTACATCCCCCGACATTCGCTTCGATCGTATTCCATCTCTTCCCATCTCTTTCGCTTATTCTTCTCGTTTAATTGCAATTTGCAGCAAATTATCCGGCAAGCGACGTGAGAAGTGTTTCCCGAAAATGTGAAAGAGCGACGAATAGGGTGATTCGAAAAAAAAAAAAAAAAAAGAAAAATCGCGAATCTACCCGAGTTTCTTAATTTGCAACAATTACATATTTTGAAATAGAAAATGGTTCTCTTTATCAAAATTGTCAATTAATATCGTTAATGCTCTTCGCATAAATTCGGCTGGTAATCTCATTATTTAAATAACACTGCCGTCCGGATCGTCGCGTCATATATTTATCTATTCGATCCAAGGATAAATAAATGTGTAAACGCAAAATACAATATATACGAGACGAAAAGCGAAATGGGACGAGAGCGCGTTCTCTATAAATGCGCGTCGAAAATACATACGAGGTTTTTTTTTTCATCCCGCTGAACGCGCAGTTGTAATGCAATACTGATCAGCAATGCCTTCAATAAATTCCGAATATTTTTTTTCAATTCCCAGATAGCAAAGAGCAAAAGAATGTAACTATCGATTTTCATTGTACCTTTCGCCTTTACGAAACTAACTGCGTTCTCTTTAGTTACACTTTTTCTGTACTTAAAAATAAAGCGCAGCATCGGACGCTTTGGAAAGAGGGATGAAGAGGGGTGGAAAAAAAATAGAAAAAATAGAAACACGAAGAGTACAGAAAGGGTAAACTGAAAAGAATAGACCTACAAACTCGCAGTGACATTTTCGAGAATCGTCGCCGGGCGGAGGAGGGAGGAAAAAACTTTACCACGCTCCGACATAATTGAAAGGGCACATTACACATGTAAGGGGGATGATTTTCTCCGTATGCTACCGCGTCGCAGCCTGCTACACGTCTATCGTACTAGAATATAGCGGACTAAAGTACACTCTGCACACGAGAGCGCGCTAATCCACCGTTCAACTCTTTGTACGGCAATTTCTAGAAAAAAAAATAAAATAAAATAAAATAACCACGACTGAAAAAAAATTATTCGAACACCGAACAGCTGTAATACGAGAGCAAAATGTTAATTCGGAAATAAATTTAAAAAAAAAGCGCATAATCACACGTCGTCCGACAAAGAGTTAAGCGATCGTGTCGCTGCGCGAACCGGAAGGAGGCAAATCGAGATTTCGACTGACCGAGATCTCTCAAGGGACGAGAGAAACGGGACGAGTCCCGCGCGCGTTTTTCCGAATCTCACACGTAGTTTTTACGTCTATAGAGTCCTTTTTAACGCGAGCACGATACGTATGTACAAACGATGGCGTGATATGGAGCTCGTTTGCTCTGTGTTTGTAGCGTGGAACTCGTATGTCGCTCGTATTCGAATCGATCTCGCATTAATTTGATTCTTTCTCTCTCTCGTGTGATTATTCTGTATATCTCGAAACTAGATCAAGAACAATATTATTTCGAAATTGATGTGCGGAGTAAAAAAGATATTTTAATTTTCTGTCTTAATAAAACAGCAGAAAAACGCAGAAAGAATGTTCAAATTTAAAAATATTTGAAACTAAGACTTGTACTTCAAAGTAAAAGAGTTAACGAGAGAGAAAAAAAAACACGAATAATATATAATGAATTAAAGTGATATATTGTAATATCGAGATATATCTTTGATCTCTCGCGGAATTTGGCATTGTGAGAAATATCTCTCCAATATTCTATGTCCGAATACAAATAAACCCTTCCTGTCTATTTCCAAGTCGCAAAACAGCATCGATTATTCTGATTTTGGAGTAATTAATTAATCCCACAAACGATCGATGGCGAATATTTAGAGCTATTGCGACTTTGCTTTACCTCTCCGAATAGAATCGAGAGAGAATAACTTCGGAGGATAATACATTATGGACATACGATTTTCGCGCTATGTCATCAACAAGAATTTGAAAATCGGAGGAACTCTCGCAAAGTTTGCGCGAGAAGAAGGAGCTGTCCGTTTTGTTCTTCTGCGCAAAAGAGAGAGAGAGAGAGAGATGGATTTTCTCACATCGCAAATTTAGTATCAAAAGCGTTCATCATCCGATTCTAAGTTTTATATCGAGGCGATATTATAAAATCGATTGTAAATAAAGGCTCCGACTCGACGCGATCAAAGTAATAATTTAGCGTTAAGTATGCGATAGATATAAAATATACGAATCAAGGAGCACGACCAACGATACGATTTTCCGAGGAAATGTCGAAGAGATGATTAGAAAGAAAAATGTTGACAAACTCCGTTTCTGTATAAATTATCGTTATCGAACTCTGGACTTTTGTATTTCGCATTGCGTACGAGATTCGCTCGTTCCTTTAACACATTATATAAAGATGAGACAGCCCCCTCGTCCCTCGCAGAGTTTGTCCAGAACGTTTAATAAGCTGTATTTAATCATCGTCGCGGATCTCTCTCGCGTCGACGGTCGACCGACGTCCGATTTTCAAAGATTTTACGACCATTTCTCGAGTCTACGTCCCGCACACAGCTCTGTAAAGCAACACACCCGCCCCGAAACATCGAAACACACATACACACAAACACACTAATTGTTCGTCCTTTTTAACAAATATAACAGAACTTACGTCTTAACCCGAGAGCGTGCCAGGCGGAACGTCATTGCAATGCATTTTTTTTTTTTTTTCGAGAGGGAAGGAGAGTCATGGGCGTCTTCAGAAGGGCAAATAAAAAAATTAAGCATTTGCTCTTCTTGTGAATAAACACTGGAATTTGTTTGCAATTTTATTAAAAAAAATAAAATAATTAAAAATAAATTAAAAAATTAAAAATATTAAAATAATAAAATAATAAAAAAATTAAGAAAAAATAAGCAAAAAATTTTAATCATGCCCTCCTCCCTGGAAAAAATTCTGCGGGCGCCCATGAGGAGAGCGGCAATAATAATTTTCCTCCTCCTTGTCTCTCGCACGCGAAGGACAAGAATTATTGTCGCGTATACCTGTTGTAACATTGCACTGGCGTGCCGTTTCGTTCGCGGTCTTTTGTAACCCTGTGCCACCTGATTTAATCGAGCGCGTGAATCACGAGCTCGGATCGGCCGCTTTACGGCTTGTAAATGAAATATATAAATGTCGTTTTAAAGTTTCATCATAATCCCCCTTTCCCCTTTTATACCTACGAATCGGGGACTCTCGATTCGCGTGAGTGATCTAAGATCTCATAACATTCCAAGTAAAAAGAAAGCTACCTAATCTATTGTTTCAGCAAGAGAAAATTATGAAGAATTTTTTGCAATAGAGTCACAATTTTTTTTAATCAAAAAATATAGACATATTATTAGATAGTATAAATTCATTTAACAAGTTTAATTATTTTTTAAGATATGATCGCATTTTTTAAGATATGATCGCAATTAAAATGCGCATAAAATCGTCAATACAAAGATATAAATGTAAATATAAAAAGCATAACGAACCCGTGTGTTATCTCTCATACCGTCTTCCTTTTGCCTGCACTCGCTGAAGATGCGCTTCGTGATTCGTGTTTCTTCCTTTAACACACGTAAACTTTTATTAAAAACGTTTGTCACTCTTGTCTGTATTACTTTGACACGTAAATATAATGACGATTGATAATTATTACGCGCACTTATTTACACTGATTAAATTTGAACATGAAGTGATTACTTTTGTATTTCGCCGTTAGAGGCGTACTTGTCCAAATAATCTGGTGCTGCCATCTTGCGGGAAAGACTGTGCGACTACACAAAGTTCGCGCGCATGCGCGACTCGATGTGTCATCGCGAACAGCTGATTCGGAGCAGCTGTAGAAGACGGCGGGCGTGTGACGGATCAATTGTATACATCGCTGTCAAAGAAATAAATCTCACCGAGAATATAATTTTCTCCTAGCACATATGTATAAATAAATATTGTTTTTAAATTATCATGGCATTTCTCGAGGTTTGTTTTAATTACTCGCTCATAATTTATCTTGATTTATCGTTTCGTTCTCGACGTATATTTGCATCTATTGCTCCTTCTTCGACGCACAATATAACCTAAAGTTTTCGACGCTACTATTACACTTTATTGTCTTTTTAGTGGAGACGCTTTAATTTCTTTGACTTGAAAAAGGAGGTTGATGCAGGAAAAATCGCGGCCGCATTCGGAGTAAGATGGATTTTTAATATATTATTATATAAATTATATTTAACCTTTTACATCATGTGAAAGAGAGAGGTTCTCTTATCTCCTGATTGATAATTTTTTGTATAGGATGCGCAAGTCGCTGCAGCTACCAGTGGCAATGGCAATCTCGTATTTGGGGATAATACAGGCAATGTACATTTGATAAACAGGGCATATGAGATTACAACGTTTCGAGCTTATGAAATTACACTGGTGTTGGCTCAACAAGTTCAACATTCTACTTTTCTATTTACCATTGGTGTAAGAGTGCTGCATGATGATCATTTCTTGCAAAGTATCTCTTTGATGGAATTTTATAATAGATTAAATCTAATTATTCGAATATAATGCATAAACAGGAAGATGAGGCTGGATGCAACCCTACTATAAAAGTTTGGAACCTGGCAAAACCAGATAAGCAAGGTAATCCAACATGTGTTCGGATAAGCAGAGCTATACCTAGTTATCGAGCAGTTCCAGCGACAGCTCTTTGTGTCCATACAAGTCTTACGTTGATGGCGATTGGATTTGGAGATGGTTCTATTATGCTGTATAGGTAAATAAAATATATTTTTTATTTTTTTCTCTTTACCTTATTAGACTATTATTATATTGTCAAAGTTTTATATATTTATTACTTTATTATATATTTTATATATTTTGTGATGCAATATAATACACTATAATAAAAATATCTTTTCTTATTCAAATTCTTCGTTTTTCAGAGGCGATTTGACTCGAGAGAGGAAAAATAAAATAAAAGTCTTAAAAGATGCTAATCTGTCTATTACTGGTCTGGCTTTAAGAGCGACTGGTAAACAGACGCATTTGTTCGTTGCTACACAGAACAGTGTGTTTTTGTATAATATTACTATTAAGGACAAAGAATTTAAAACTACTTTGGATACGATGGGCTGCGCGCGAAAATGCAGCGTGCTTGCTGAATCCATGCAAGACAGTCATTTTATGATCGGACGTAATGACGTATGTCGCACATATTTTCAGGCTCGCATTTTTAATTACATACATAAAGAAAAAAAAACTATTCTTTTATAAAATTTTCAGGCTATTTATTGTTACACACCAGATGGTAGAGGTCCATGCTATGCAGTGGAAGGTCAAAAAATAATGCTAGAATGGTTTAGAACATATTTAGTGATAGTAGCGAAAGAATCAGCAAACGTTCCGAGAACAACGACTATATCTGCCAAACCCAAGTAATTAATACAAACACGTTTATATTTTATAATTTCTTTACATTTATGTTATAATGCATAAATATATTAAATTTTTGTAGCACAATAGAACCAATACCGCCTGGTGTCGATAAACATATTATTACTGTGCTCGATATCCAAAACAAGTTTATCGTTTTCTCTGCGCCTATGGTGTCTGTCCAAGCAGTTCTATCCGAGTGGGGTGGATTTTTTATACTTAGTGGAGATAACAAGTTGTATCATTTGGATGAGAAAGATTTACAGTCGAAATTAGCATTACTTTTTAAAAAGAATTTGTATGATGTTTCCATAAGGTATATTAAATATTTAATTGCAATGAAATATTTAAATCATTAATTGCACAACTTTTAATATGACATTGTATATATTTTGTTACAGAATAGCTAAAATCAGCAATATGATGCGGAAGGTCTCATAGACATTTTCGTCAATATGGAGATCATTTATATTCCAAAGGGGATCATAACGGCGCTATAGAACAATACATAAAGACTATTGGCAAGTTGGAACCATCTTACGTGATAAGAAAATTCTTAGATTCCCAACATATTGATAATTTGACGACGTACTTGCAAGCTTTGCATAAAAATGGACAAGCAACCGAAGATCATACTACTTTATTGTTAAATTGCTACACTAAACTAAATCATACCGATAAGTTGAAAGAATTTATTATGGTGAGTACATATTTATCTGCAGATGTCTCAAATGTCCCAAAATATGTGATATGTTTACAAAGATGTATGATATTTTGTATATTTATTATATATTGTTATATATAATTTAGACAAAAGATCGTGAAGTTGATTTCGATGTGGAAATAGCGATTAAAGTTTGTCGTCAAGCATCGCCGGAGGACGCTTTATTACTCGCACAGAAACATGGTAAACACGAGTGGTATCTTCGTATCCAAATCGAAGACAAACATGAATACAAAAAGGCATTAGAATACATGGCAACTTTAGAATTTGAAGAGGTATTATTATATATTTATACGTGTATATGTGTGTGCATAATTCTATAAAAGTAGATATATGAAAAACGCTTAAAAATATTTTTAGGCGGAAGCTAACATGAAGAAATATGGAAATATTTTAATAGAAAATGTGCCAAATGAATCTACACAGTTTTTAAAAGCCTTATGCACAAATTATAAACCTTCTGACAAACCTCTTGTAGATCAGGTATGTGTACATATTTCATTCTCATGTTCTTATATTAATTTTGAGTAAATTATGCGAGGAGAAATTAAAAGATGTGGAAATGTATTTATCTCGTTATCTTCTTGTAGGAAGCATTAAATGGCTATACAGAGCAGCGTATAGATAAAGCTAATCCAGAGGATTTTATTCATCTATTTCTAAATAATTCTGAGCGACTCGTGGAGTTCTTGGAGCATTTAGTTAAATCAGATACAAGGTTGCAATATTTCATAAAAAGAACATATATTCTATCAGGAAGTTCACTCTATCTTTACTTATATTTCTTGTAGGTGGAGTACACTTGTTTACAATACATTAGTGGAACATTATTTACATGTTTGGTCAGCTTTAGACAATGATGTAGCTAAAGTGCAATATGAACAGAAAATTGTACGACTTTTGCAAAATTCCGAAGCTCATTATGATAAAGACCAAATATTAATACTTTGTCATCAGCATAATTTTAGGAAAGGATTGCTTTTCCTCTATGAAGAGAGCAAACTGTAAGTCGGTCATATATTATATTATTGAAGAGAAATTGTTTTACATATAGAAATATCAATATGCATGAGGATACATGTTGATATCACTTTCAGATATCAAGAAATATTAAGGTTTCATTTACGCGAAGGCGACAGCGAACAAGTTCTCGCCACCTGCAAGAGATTTGGTCATCAGGATCCTAACTTGTGGGTACAAGCCTTGTGGAGCGTAGCTAAAAACAAGGATGCACCAACGAAACTCCTCGCGGATATATTAGCATATATCGGTGAATATTCGCTAAATATTAATTATAGTATTTTTTTCAGTCAAACAAAATCGAAACTGTTGTTACAGCTCAAGAAAGACTGTTGTCTCCTTTAATGGTTATTGATGCAATTTCCACATCACTGACCTGTACATTGGGAGATGTTAGAAGTTATTTATGCAGTGTATTACGAACGGAAAACGAACAGACTCAAGCCGATACGGAATTAACACAGAAATACAGAGCCGATACTCTTAAATTACGGGAACAAATAGAGGCAATAAAGAATAACACAATAATCTTTCAAGGATCACGATGTAGCGCGTGCCATCATCAGCTAGAATTACCATCTGTGCACTTCATGTGTCAACATTCATATCATCAACAGTAAGCTTTTCTAATTATTTTTATCATTTGTACATAAAATTGTTATCACGTAATTTATTTCAATTTATCTTCTATTTTTTGCTTTCAGTTGCTTTCAAAGCTTCTCGGAAAACGAAAACGAATGTCCAGCGTGCTTACCAAACAACAAGAAGTTGCTAGATATTATAAGAGCGCAAGAGCAATCAAGAGACTTACACGAAACATTCCACAGTCTTCTCGATCGAGCGGAAGATCCGTTTTCTTTAGTGGCCGATTATTTTGGTAGAGGTGTTTTCAAGAAATTAACAGTAATTACCGATACAGACAAATCATTACCTACACCAACCAAGTTGGAGGAACCTAAATTGAATTATGGTCCGGGCGCGGAAGCGAGAATCCGATTAAATGAAGGAAAGAGCTCCATCTCAGGTTTATATTTATGATTTTAATTACTAAGTTTTTTGATGTAAATTATATCATGATAATTGTATAATCGATATGTGATTCTTCCAGTAGGAAAAACGGAATCTAGACGAGCGGGATACGATGTTCCCACATTAATAACGGAAGAGCGTTATCGCAGTTTTGCAAAACCGGATGTGTATTCCTCGTCATTGGAGGCGAATATATCGGGAACAGGGAGCGGTTTATCGACACCGCGAGGTAATTCCGCTAAAGCTTCACCGGTGCCGATCAGAGAAGCTCGTATTTTGAATAGTACCACACCAAAGTCATCGCCGATTGAGAAGTCCTTCATTCCACCAAAAAATCCTATTGTGCCATCAAACCCTTTCGAGACTGACGATTACGACGAATCTAAAAATCCTTTCGCTAATGACGACGACGACGATGCAAATAATCCTTTTAAAGACGACGATGATAATGATAATGACGCGGCTAATGATGATGACGATTATAATAAAAATCTAAATCCATTTGGTAGGTAAACCACAAACTAGATATGTATATTAATGTAAACGTGAAAGCAAAGAAAATATTGTCAAATGCGTGCTTTAACAACAAGCATTATGCAATGAATTTACGAATCTAATCATTATATGTAAACTTGTAGTATATATTTCAATTTTATATGCTGTATAAATATCATGTATCATTAATATTATAGTTCCTTCACTTTCGCAAGTAAAAGACTTTATATGCTGTGCAGATCTTTATCCATCTATAAGATAAGATTTAATATTTATCTGAGAATTAGAAGACAAAAATATTTAAAATATGCTTTCTGTATCTTTGCATATGAAAGATAATAATTAAATTAGACCAATTTTTAAATGCTGAAACTTGAGACAAAAGAATCATAAAATAAAAATTAATCAATAGATTATATCAATTTTTGTTTATTATGAGATTCTAATGTAAAAGATAAATAAAAATTTTAAGAGATTAAAGATTGTTTGATTAGCTGATAATAATGTATATTGTTTCACTGTGCTAATGTTTATATTTGGTTAATTTTGTATTTGCAATTATAATTATTATATAAAAATAAAAGTGATAAGTTTAGATTATTATAAAATAATGATGCTTTTGTGTGCTACATCTATTTACTTCAATAGAATAACACTCATATATGTAAAGTATCTAAAGAGGGACACAGATTATAAAATATTGTATACAATTATAATATATTAAGAATAAAAAGAAAAAACTAAAAAAATATAAATCTCTATATGTATATATATTTTTATATTGTTTATATTTTGTTTACTAATATTATATTTATATTTTATATATGTTTACTAATTTTTTAATTTTGCATTATCTAGTTATAATAAATTTATCTATTAGGTGGGATCTTTCAAGAGTATAAAGCATGCCAATATTTTTTTATTATATCATGTTATATTTTTTTATATAGATAATTTTTTATTCATGAAATCGCCGATTGAATTTTATCAAGATTTCTTTCGTGAATTGCATCAATTTTTAGCCTTTCCCCAGTGGTAGATATTATAAGATAAAATTCGCGCTTTTATTGCGTCATCATCGCCATAATAATTATTTATTCAACACGGAGTTAGTTCAGTGAATAATGAGATTTGAGTGAGATTAATATCTCAAAACAAACCCCCTACGAAATATGTAAGATAAAAGAAAATGTGGTATATTGCATTCCGAAAAGGAGGGAATTTCACGAATGAAAATGTTTACCTTATTCATCCCCATTTCATCCCCCATTTTTGTTATGGTGGTAACACTGATGCGAGCTGACGTCATAGTTGAGTTCCGAAATTGAAATCAATAAGCGATGTGCAATGTTGTGTGTACATCACGGACGGTGGGAAATGGCGATTATGTCAAAACATCGTGTTAGATCTCATTGTGCTTGATCGCGGAATCATTATTCATCAGCGAAATGGCTCGCAATAGCAAGAAGAAACTCGCGATATTCGCGGGTACATCGAAGTGTCTAATTTACGTAAGTAGCCTCGTCCTTATATGAACGAATATAATGCTCATTTTTTCCTAGCTTCTTTTTTTACAATTCTCATAAAAAAATATATATATCAGATTTAGAAATTATTAATTTATACTCTATACTATATTATCAATATATGTATATATATATATACATATTTTATATTTCAATTAATAATTTGGAGCTCTACTTAAATTGTATTAAATTTTATTACTTTTTCATAAAGTCTAAACAATGGAATTATCCATGCTTTCAAATATTATTATTATTCAAAATGTTTATTATTATAGAATTTTGTGATGTTATTTATATATATATATATATGATGTTAAATAAAATATAACATATTTAATTATGTATAATATTTCTTTTCTCTTTTAAAAAATTGTTTAGGATAATGCATTTTTTTTAGGCAGAAGCAAAGTTTTGTGCCTCTGATTTGCCTGGAGATGTAAAATATTATGAGTAAGTTGCATTTTTTGACACTTGGACAATTTTGACTACATTTAATCTATGTGTTAGCTTTACAAAAATTATTTATACTTAATAGTGTTATTTTTTATCAATTTTTGTCAATTGTAACTCATCTTTCAGATGTTCGAGAACAGAATATTGTTGTGCTTTTGGTTGTTGTGTGTCACCTGGACTCCATTTCCATCATTTATGGTACTATTGGTAAGTAGAATGTTTAAGAATCTCATTCCTTTTTGCTCCAATAATAATTATCAATATTTTGTAAACATTTGCATGTTATATATAATATATAAAAATGTTTCAGGATCCTGGTTATAATTATGTTCCTCGTGTGTTCGGGTGGTGGGTGGTGGTATCGATACTGGTTGCAAGGCAGATATAGAGCAGCAGCTTCAGCTATTCCGACACGATCTTCCAATACCAGATCTCAACATTCTCTTCGCAATGCGTCTTGTCAAGCGCAGCAAGCTCGAATTACATACAATTCAGCCAGAAATACCGTCCTATTGCATCGTATGTGGAAAGGTTCGTATTTTTCTTTTTTTTTATATATATATATATATATAAATAAGCACAAATATATATATATAAAATAAATTCATTTTTTACAAATATATTTAAAATAAATATATATTTAAAATAAATTCATTTTTTACAAATATATTTAAAATAAATATATATTTAAAATAAATGTTTCTAACAGGTCCTCAAAGAAACACAGCAGCGCCAATGTATAATAGTAATGCAACCACTTCAACGCACTATCAGAATATGAACGTAGTGTTGAACGATACCAGTTGCCCTTACTATCAATTGTACGGTCCACCGCCTAGTTACGAGACAGTGATAGCGCAGACACGCGGGAAAATCTCCAATCCAGCCTCACCGGAATCTTCTGCGCGATTGAATCTCCAAACGGCGAACGTGATACCAAATCCGAGTGTGCCGCAATGTTTCTTCTACACTTGCAATTCTCCAGCCAGATTGGTAGACTCGAATCAAAGTGACAACGCGACTTCCCGCCAGCTCGACAATCACGAGAGTGTTCCGTTCGCGCATTTCTCGCAATATTGCGTACCGAATGGCGCTATAAGTCAAAACATGTGCGTCCCTTTAGAGTACCCGGAGGAATCGATCGCCTCCGGAGGAAGCAACTTCAGCCACAGTTACAGTTTACAGAATAGTCCGCAACGGCTGCCGGCTTATCCCACGGACAGATCGTCCGATGCCTCGAATGCGGAAATTCAGAATGGATCCGAGGGATGCGCGATGCTCAATGTCGATACTGCGATCAGCAGCTACAGAGAATCGTGCCAGAGTCCGTGGCACGGAAATAACGATCAGTCTCTATTAAAGGTCCACGGTAAGATTGGCGAAAACCGTCTGTCTCGACAAAGATGCGCGACAATCGCGGAGATGCGTATTCCCTCGTCTAAATCGGAGGAGAGCGAAAGCGAAAATGAACTAAAGCGCATATGTCCCGTGATGATTGCGAGCCGAAGAAATTTCCCGAGACAACGTACGGATTACGGCGGTTCCCTGCGATTACCTCGCAGTCAGACCGGAGATGTCATTTATCAAGGCGACAGCCTCCAAAGAGTTTCCTCGAAAAAAGATTCGTCCTTTAATTCCAATCGCACGGCAACTTCCGAGAACGCGCTTCGTAATGCAAATTCGCCGGGACAAGAGGCTGTCGCGGGCTCCTCTCAATCAAATCCATCCAATAATGTGATATTAGAATCTTTTATTTTTGAAAATGCGCAATTGCCTCCGAGTGAAAATGTCGAAGAGGCGCGTGGTCTTCGTACAATGAATCGGAGTACAAACTTTGATCTTGAAAGTAAACACAAATTAAACAGATCAAAGTCGCTAGACTGAATATAAATTGAAATCCTTTATCCTTGTATTACGCGATGCTTATATATTCTTGTATGTCTCTGTTATTCGCGCGTAATATAGCAATACAAAACATGAATAATCGTTCGTTATCACATTAGAATAATCCTCATCTGTTTCCGAATATCGCGATTCAAAAACGGGAGGATTCTATTTTATTAAAAATAATGCGATATACATATATCTTCTTTAATACGTACATGTTTAATGAGATATATTTCATTCAGCGATATTCCATATTTATGTCGACTTCATATTATCGTTTCGCGTTACTTCATCGTGTCTTAAATTGTCGAATCTGGTGATTAAATCTCGTGAGATGTATATATATATATCATCCATTATTCTCTCGCGCAGAATTAGCGAACATAATATTAGACGTTAGACTTAAATTGCACTTTCGCAGTATTTTTTGCAAATGATATATCGCAATTCCGAAGCTAAACTATTTTTTGATTACCTATTAATATTAAATATTATCTAAGTGTGATAGGTGATAGTGTGATCTTACGTACGCCGACAAAGCATCTTATTTATTCTGATATCTGCGACACATACTGCCACGAGAAGATCTTTTTCAACGTTGTATTAGATATTGATCTAATTTTTAATTCCTGCACTATACTTAAATGTAATTTAAGATTTCGGAACGGATAAAAACGGTGTTTCAGAAACGTTGTATTTCCACAGACAGCGGCCCAATTTAATCCACTTACGCACAAAAAAAAGGAATATCAATCATTGTGTTTCATTTCTCTATATCGATACGTAACGATATGTAAGCAAATAATTATCGCACATTTTTTTAATCCTCGGATGGAAACGCACTTGTGAACAAAAGTCTTTACAGAAGAGACTAAGGTCTTCAGAAAAAAAAAACAAAAAAGTAATAAAATTTATTTTTTAAATATTATAATATAAATTTCGACGTATTTTCTAACGATAATATTGATATCGAACTTGACAAATGCCGAAATAGTCTCGTTCTTTGAGCTATACTTCAAGTCGGTCAAGCCAGTCCTCTATATAAGCCTCTATCACACACATATGTGCACATTAATATTATCTCGATATTAAAAAAAAAAATGAGTAAAGTTAATTACTACACATTGCACACACGTATTTAAAGGTAAGATATAGTTATCCGAAATAATTATATATAGTTTGTTCACGATTAAAGCAGGGATATCCTGCTGTAATAAAAATGCGACCGCGTAAAGATATATAAAAAGCGGAAGTCGTTCAAAAAAAAATTGAACTTTAGGAAAGCACGAACGCGAGAAAATATATACGGTGAAAATAATTTATTCTATTTAATTCCACTTGATAACACGCGATTGTAAATCGTGTTTGTAAAAGTAACGCGTTTCTAACAAGTGTTTAAAATCTTCGCTCTCTTCTATTTTTTTATTCCGCATACACAATGTGCAAGAAAAAAGACTGTCCTCGTGCTGTGACATGAACGACATTTAATTTATAATACTTTTAATCAATCAATGGCAACATTAAATTGCAATGGTCGAATTATATCGTTTAGATAAATTGGAGTTATAAGCCATTTACGCGCTACACCTCTTCCATTATCTTTTGATACAAACACACGTACAAGTACACAATCAGTATTTTTTAAGGTCGCAGAATATTACGTCGAATGCGCTAATCCTTCAATTTAGATTTCTTGAATTATAATAGCGGTCCAAGAAACGCATACGTGCCAATAGCGACAAGTCCGTTAGATAAGCAAGAGTATATTGGATAAGCGAGACATAGTCTCGTAGCCAAAGAAGTCTTGCTTTAAAATGCAAAACAAAATAAAAGATATATATATATATATATATATATACAATTATTTTTTGTAACCGATCCTAATTAATAAATGGGGGCTGTTTAATGAGTCCGCGTGATTATACAGTACCATATAAGCTTGTACTATTGTATGTCGTGTGTGTATACATATATGTGCATGTGTATGTATATGTACACACGATAAATTACGATAGATTACGAATCTAGAAGGATTTCTAGTCAGGAGCAACTATATTTTGTGTGCGTGCGTAGTCTGCGCGTCATATTGTATAGCTTTAATGAGCTCTCTAGTTTGAACGATCTTCTCACCATAATGTGCAATCATGTATTCGCGCGGAATCAATGACATTGTATAAGATGCTATACTATAATGTGAAAGAATGTCTGTCCGAAATAAAGACACGAAATATTTATTCACGTATACAACCAAGATAACTTTTAGTTCCATTTATAAAGTCCTTTAAAACAACAGACTATATCTTGCATATGAAACTGGAGAACACAGAAAAGATGATTGTGCTAGAAAAATTTATTTTAAAAATCTATCATTAAAATTTAATGCGATAAATTAATGAAAAAAATATGCATCAAACATTTTCTTCAAAATTAATCAGAAATATCTGAAGTAAGTTTCTTTTTATTTAACATTCGATATATTTATTCAGTAACAAGTAATAATACTCGTATATCGATTGAGTAATGTTAATATATTAAAATATAATTCAAAAGCGAAAGCAGTAAATAAATACCGAAAAAATTAATCGAATACTATTCGAGAAGTATATTAGGAATTTTCTTGCCAGGACGGATACTTAACAATTCCTTTTACTTTTAATTTGATCTGTTTCAAAAGGCGTTGCGATTTAAATATCCGAATCGAATAACTATTCGGTATCGATCCATCTGTGCAATCTTCAAACTGTTCATCGAATTGCTGATTAATGCACGATGGGATAATATCAGTATCAGCAATGATAAGGCGGTACTTGTCGCGAAGCAACGATAAGAGATGGCAGGTGCAACTGAACGGGCGAGAAATCAATATAAACGGGATTCGCGAAAGGGTGGAAAGCGGGTGTACGCGAAAAGCGGCGAAGCATCCCTTATGAGAGAGAGAAAGAGGCGGTCGCCGCGAAAGAGCCGATCGCAGCATATTTTAGCGGCCGCGAGATCGACGAAAAAAAATGTCATAGTCGCGGTGTCGGTCGAAAATACCCAAGAGTGTAAAAAAAAGCGACCGTCTCTCCTCTCCTCTCCTCTCGCCCCTCTCGTCTCTTCCATCAACCCTCCCTGTTCACTCTGCCTTGTCCGTCGACCCTCAATCGTTGCCCCCCGACCCGCGTGTGTACATGTGTGTGCATTTCCACCCTCAATGGTGAATCAATAATTAAGGTGACAGTGCAGTGGTTGCGCGATCGTGTGCCGGGTCAAGATGTCGGTGAAGGTGAGTCCTTCGGACGCGAATGCGACTTGAACGTGTCCGAATAAGCTTTCTCGATTCCGACTGGCTCCGATCCGAGAATGGTTCTGAGTTGAACCGAAGCCGGATGCGAAGCGTCCTCGTATGTACGTTTCTGCTCGGAAGGCTCTCTTGTTATGTAATCGATTTCGAATAATAATATACTTTGACATATCGGGCGAGATGACGATTGCGAAGATCGATTCTGCGTTATCTTCGTTGTATGACATCTAATTACGCTTCTATATATCTCGTCGATAAGCATTAATGACCGTAGGTCATGATTCGTTACGAACACACACATACATATATATATATATATATATATATACACGTGTGTATATGTATGTGTGTAAATAAAAGCGCAGTATTTGCGTACGTAAATATACTTGCGATTACGATATATCTCTATTTGACGCAACCTTGTTTTCAACTTTTAATCGGCGCTCGCGCCTAACTATATGCAACTTTATATGTGTTGGAACTTTAATAATTGAAGTTTCTTCGATAGAATTTTATCAAGAAAATTTCCAAGTAAGATTTCGAAAAAAATTAAATCTTCATAATGTAACTTTCATGTACATGTATATATTCTAAAGAAGAAAGAGAAAAATCTTTGATGACAAAATTTTCTAAGATCTCGCGTTTACTAATTTAACGATTATAAATCGATTCTAAAGAGTATCGTCAATTTTTTCCTCCTCTTTATATGCGACGTTCCAATTTATTAGTACATTGATATTTTTTTTTTCCTTTTGTTTCACGTGTACACTGCTCTGTTTCCCGCGTGATATTCTGTATTGTATCCGCGTATCGCAGGCCAGCTGTGAGTTCTTGATCTCGTTAACGGAGTATAAATGTCTGCGCGCGGAGTCGGCTGCCGCGTCAAGTCGCAAAATTTTTTAATGGCAATAACAGCGTCACAAGTGTCCGCTTCCTGCTGAACACTTCGCCGATAACGAGGATATAGCGAGGGACGCGTTACGTAGACACGCGTGCGCGCTCGAGGCGCGTGCGTGTTTGAGACGCGCGCGCTTTACGGCGCGCACGCACGCCGGCTGCAGCGCGTGCAGGCCAATTGCAATTTGCGTGTCGGTGATACAGCACGCGAAGCGTGTTTCGCATCTTTCCGCGCGGAAATCCGCGTAAGCAAAACGAGGGGTGAATGCGTAATTAGAGGTGCTCGTATTTCAAGTTTATATACTCACTGTTACTCGATTCGAAAATTACGGTGGCTTCATTTTCTTTCTTCGAACAAATAATTTGAAAAATTACTTTATAATAAAAAATCCGTTAATTAGAGATTTATATGGTAATTTGATATGTGAACTGCTTTAGTGGGCTTAATTTGGATTTAGTGTGTTATGTGCAGCCTCCGTTTCATATGAGATTCGCTGATAAGATTTACGTCGTAAGCGAAAGCAGATAACAGATTTACGAATACATTATATATAGGTTTCGATCGTCACATTAGTTTTTTCTCTTTTTGTTAGGATTATGTGTACATACATATACATTATATCTTTTATTATATAGTCAATCTTTCTGCGAGAGACTTTTAACATTTAAATATTATACTAATACAAAAATTAATATTTTATTAGATTCAAATTCAAATTATGCTGAAATTTACTTGAGTACAACCTCTTTAATATTAAATCGCGCTTGTGCAAATGTAACATGATTTTCAAATTTTGAAGTATTACACTTTAAAATAAATTTTAAAAATGTGAAAAATATTATCACGTATTTTTTAAATATACATTTAAATTGAAAAATCGTAACAAAAATTAAATAAAGCAATAATTTGTAAAATTTATTTTAAATACGAGATTTCATATTAAACATAAATCTTATACAAATTTGACACTTTTGTTACATGTACACACATTTGTAACTCTTTGATCTTTTTCTATTTTCAATTCAACGTAAATATACTTGAAGTCAGAAACATTTATATATAAAATATGAATTCTTTTTTATACATGCTGCATATATAAAAAGAAGTAGTATCTTTATTTATAAGATTTAAATAGTATTATATAATATGATATATGTATATGTATATACATAATCCATAGAAAAAAAAAGAATATGACGTTAACGATCGAAATATGTTTTTGTAAATCTGTCATCTGCATTTGCTTACGATGACGTAAATGCTATCAGCGAATCTCATCTGAAACGGAAACCGCACGTCAATACGCGTACTTACTAAACAGACTGACAGGAACTGAGACTCGCATTCATGTCAAAAGTAATGTATACGTTTGTCCGACTCATGCTATATAATAGTTAATTTTTTTCCATGAAATATTAAATAATTTGTATTGGTCTGATAAGAGCGTTAAGTATAAAGTGCGACACGCGAGGGTTTTCAATATTAAACGGCTTGTGTCAGTCTGTCCGATATCGCCTGAACGGGCCTTTAGAACATTTTGTAGAGTCAAGAGCGATTTATTTTTAGCACAGTCTAAAATCGTAGCGTTGCTACGAAGTTCGCGAGTGAGTTTTGCATCTTCGGCGAAAGTTATCACCTAGGATCTTCGTTTTCGTGAAGTGCGCGCATAAGAAATCGCTATTGTGAAGAGATTTTTGACATCTCATTACAGATATCCACAATTTCACAATTGTTATATTATTTCAACTTTTAATTTTCGGCTTGTTATTAAGTTCCTTAAAAAGCTGATCTCGATTGTCGCTCGAACAAACTCAAATACAATTGGGTAAATAAAGCAGCAAGATTATTTTATGTTAAAATTTACGCGCGCTACTTGTATACTTACTGGCGAAATAATTTGAAATTTTGAATTAGGCTTGCTATTATTCCGGAGGATTTAATTTAATTCCATATTTTCATTTCATGAATTTCGTTTCCTCATCATATCATCACGTTACACTCTATATATGAATATCGTTTTATGCACGAGTGTTGATACTGGGTTTCAGTTGTTTGAATTAAGATCATTGTGTCTATTATACTTCCACACAGCAAACTGTGTCATGAAAACAAAATATAAAATGCGCATCTCTTCCGCGACAATTCTATTCTACACAAAAATCGCGATAATTCATGAATTCTACTGTGACTGGTATTCTTAGCTTAGAATATATTTTAAAAAATAGAAAGAGGAAAAAATAGAAGAATAAAGAAAAAAAACAAAAATAGAAAAAAATTGTAAAATATTTTAAACAATATAAAGATTATTCGAATAAAATGATTAAGATAAGCCAATATTTTAAAACAGTGCAATCATGAATTAATGAAAATTATAATTAAAAAAATTACGTGAGACATTTTTTTTTTTTTTTTTTTTTTAGAAAACATTAATTCCAACACAAAACTTTAGTAAAAAATATCGTAAAATATTTTAAGTATTTAATAAAATATTTACAATAGTTTTAGAAAATAATATTTAATATTTAAATTTTTTTAAATAATTATTTAAACGCACTTGAGCTCTAATGATTATGTAAAATGTCTGTACGTGGTCTGTTGCGCTTAACTATGTTATCATGTAAATAAAATTGTAAATGTATTTTTTTGTTATAGCAAACAATTGTAAATATGCATAAATATCATATTCTGCAGAGTTATATTGCTTATCCTTATATATCTTACATAAGATCTAGATTGGAAACAAGTTAATAGATCTCTTATATAAGATTTTTTATTATAAACTCGAAAATAATTTTTTTTATTTGAAATAATTCCTTATAATTTATTATTCTTATATAAATTTTAAATAGTATATATCTTTTGATTTAAATTATAGATATAATAAATCGCTCTTTCAATTATTCTCAGAGTAGGAAGCGAAGTTATATAATATTAAATAAGATATTAGATAGGTATTTTTAATTATTTATGAGTAATAAATCGCTATTCAATTATCTTCGGAATACGATGCGTAATTATATACCGCATATATACATTAGCAACTAAATTTACGACTAACTACAATTAATTGCCTTATCTTAAACATAGGTGCGAGACACACCTTGTTTTATCTTTATTTGCAGAATGCGGTATAGCAAAGAAAATATTGAACTTCTTCGAAAGCGATATTTACTATATACATGTAATCCCGACAATTGTAAATTAAAATTCTTAAGACTCTTGATCAATCACTAATAGAATATCACTGATACATATTTATACTATAAAAAAGCGTTTACATAATTTCTTATTTTTAACATCATAATAGCAATAAAAAGCAGTTTTCCTTAAGTCATAAAGATCAAACGCCGTTCTTATTCATTATCATAAATCAATGCAATTTAAATATCGGCAAGTCATACGTTCGACTTAAATATTGCTTTAAATCTTTGATGTTCGCTTACACTTTTAATGCACAAATTTATTTTTCCATGTGTCTCCTCAGATGACGAGGTATAAACAAGCGGAATTCGAGGATGAAGATAGTAGCAGCATCGGCTCCGTCGCTCTAAATAGCGAAGGAATCAGTACATCTGCTACGCATATAAGATATCATACAGTAAGTATCCAATCAAGCAAACATTTTTATAAAAACCGCAGTTATAGAATTATAGAATTTCAAATCAATGATTCAAATAAGTCAATCATTATCTTAACACTGAATCATCGTCTAAGCAATCAACATATGACTTTGTTGTTTCAGGGTACAACGATGTGGAAGGCGAGAACTGCTTTGGAGAGATGCCTTCTCATAATTTGCGCTGTTTTATTTCTAACGATCATAGTACTCGCTATCGTGATCAGCAGCAAAAGCGGTTGGGATGAAGCACAGATTCTTCATGTCACTCCTCATGGAGAAGGTAAAGAAATATAATCACTTTTGGAAATATTAATATTATCGATAGCATCTGGACAGATCAAGCACAAGGATGCGTCACTCATTTTTATATTATATTTTATATATCTTTGTTAAAAACAAAAGGGACAAATTTAAAGAGTTATAAAGTTAATTACGCTGGTAATGACACAACTGGTTTAAATCTCTCAATTTTTTTAAGTATTTATCTCATACGCCTCCCGTAGTTTCAATTTCCAGCGTAAAAGAGATAAAAATAATCGATTAATGCGACGTTAATAAATGTCAGTACAATCACGAATTGTTGCAGATGGCTCACATTGCCTCACAGAACACTGTGTAACGGTGGCAGCGTCCCTAATTAATAGTATAGATTATTCCGTCGATCCTTGTGATGATTTCTACGAATACGCTTGCGGTGGTTGGAGGAAGAAAAATCCCATTCCGGATGGGAAAAGTGTCTGGGGCACGTTCGGCAAACTGGACCAGGACAATCAACTGGTCGTCAAGAATGTTCTCGGTAATCATTCGTAATCGCGCGTAATTAAATGTCGGATGATCCTTAGCGCGTGTATATGTACGTTTCATAAGTCATATGTGTCCTGCGCGCAGAGAAACCGTTCAGCGAGATGAAGTCGAAGGCTGAGAAGAAAGCCAAGTATTTTTATCTGTCCTGCATGGACGCGAATGAGACTATCGAGGCCCTCGGAGCTAAGCCGATGCTGGAATTGTTGGAAAACGTCGGCGGGTGGAACGTTTCCGGCAAATTCAACATAAGCACGTGGTCCCTGCAAAACAGCATGCACGTCCTGCAAAACGTTTACAATATGGGCGGTCTGTTCTCCTGGGCCGTGAACGAGGACGACCGAAACAGTACTAGACACATAATCCAGGTAAGCAGATTATAACAAAAAGAGAGAGAAAGAGAAATTAAACCGAGGAGATTAGACTGAGAAAGAAATCCGAAGTCGCATGTCCTCTGTCATTTTTAAGTTCATTAATTACTATCATGCTTCTTGTGTACAAAGCTTAATTTAATTAGGACGATGGTATTAATTACAATTTTTATTATTGTTATTATTGTTATAGTAATGAAACGCGTAATTAGAGCTGGACGGTGAATTGAATTAATGTAACTTCTGTTCCAGTGAATTACTGTAATTGAATTAAATGAATTATTATGTACGTTGTGTGCTTTTTTTAAAGGAAATTATTCGACTCTCGTGTAAAAAAATTCTTAATAAAAGTTTCAATTCTCTTTGTACACTTATAAAATAAAATATGTTATTTAAGAAAAAGAATTAGTGGCAGAGCAATTTCTTAACAATTAATGAATTAGAAAAAGAATCTTTGATTGTCTACGCCTAATGACAATGTTAACGTCACATATGCTAATTATTACATCAAAAATGTTGTTTTCCTTCAAGATCGATCAAGGAGGCTTAACCCTACCAACCGCAGACAATTACCTCAACGTAACCGAGCACGGCAAGGTCCTGGCTGCCTATTTGGACTACATGACAAAGGTACACAAGGATAGCACGTATTCGCGCGCACGATTTATCGCCGCACGATACTCTGAATCGCATCAGGTGAATCGAGTACAGGTACTCGTGCACGTTTTCAGATCGGCGTGCTCTTAGGTGGCGAGGACAACTCGACGAAGAAACAGATGCAGGCAATAATCGATTTCGAGACGAGACTCGCGAAGATCACTATACCGCCCGAGGAACGCAGAGACGAGGAGAAGCTCTACAATCTGATGTCGTTGAATGAATTGCAACGTAAAGCACCCTTCGTACGTTTATTGTCACCTATTCGATCGAGAATAGCTTCCAGTATATTTTGCGTTTCAATTTATTTGCAGATGCGACCAATAATTGGTTGCGACATTCAACACAGTCATCTAATATGCCTTCCTACAATGTAAAAAAATATGTATTATATTACACGAAAATATGTAAAATTACATAAATAATAAATGTAAAATTACACGATAAATAATAGAAATGTTTACCTTTTCATTATTTATCACGTAATTTTACATTTATTATTTATGTTATTTTACATATTTCTAATGTAATTTTACATATTTTTTTACAGTGTACATCTTAAATGAGACACTGTCATATCCTGCATGTACATATGATATCCTTTACTTTCTATTACACAATTGTATCCTGTATACATTCTTTCAAAAAACATGTTAAAATTTTATTATAAAAAATTAAAATTTTTTAAAATCAGAACAGATCAGAGGATGAAGTTGATGAAATTACGATAGTTTACATAATTCTTATGTGTTTAGATGTCGTGGGTGGATTACTTTCAAAATGCTACGCGCATCGTGAATAAGAAGATTAACAGTAAAGCGATGATAGTGAATTTTGCACCGGAATATTTTGTGCAACTGACGAAACTCATACACGAGTACAACAGTACGACTGACGGGAAAATGTACGTATCTATATACGTGTGATAGATGCATCAGAGATCGTAAACTGACTTTAATACAGATGTCAACTAAAGATGTTAGAGAAATTAAAAGCTAATTTTTTTCTTTAATTAATTAATTTAACAAACACTTCATTTTTAATTTAATAATTTAAATTTAGAATTTAATCTACAAAAAGAGACTATTTCTTTTATAAATAATTCTATCTCTCTTTTGATAAGCACAAAATTTGTTTAAAAATAATATTTAATAATTGATGAAGAAGTGCACGATCTTTGATGAATATCATAAATTTTTTCTATCCTGTCAAAAAAAATCAGTCTTTTCCTCTACCGTTTTTCTTTCCACAGAATATTGAATAACTATCTGGTTTGGCAGACCGTGAGGTCCTTTACAGCGTACCTGTCAAAACCATTCCGCGAAGCTTACAAGGGCTTGCGAAAAGCTTTGCTCGGTTCGGAAGGTCGCGAGGAACAGTGGCGTTACTGCGTTACCGATGTTAATAACGCCATGGGTTTCGCTATTGGAGCAATGTTCGTCAGAGAGGTTTTCCAGGGCAAGAGTAAACCCATGGTTAGTTTGCACATCAGTCTCTCAAAAAAATATCTTACAATTATTTTTCTTGATCGATTTTTCATCGTTCAAATTAAAATAACAGTTTGTCATTTTCAAAATAAAACTTATTATATCCTAGAAATTTTCATAAACAGTTTTTTCAAATATCGAAATAATTATTTAAACACTTCACAAAAATGCGTCTTCTAATTTATAGACTAATCGATTTTGATCGTTGCTTTTAGGCGGAAGAAATGATCAATCAGGTTCGCAAGGCGTTCACGAAAAATCTGAAAAATCTAGATTGGATGGACGAGGAGACGAGAAAAGCCGCAGAAAAGAAGGCAAATGCTATTACCGACATGATCGGCTTTCCAGACTTTATTCTACAACCCAGCGAGCTCGATGAACGCTATAGAGATCTGGCGGTCAAACAGAACGAATACTTTCAAAATAATGTGCGCGTGAATAAGTATGTTTTACGTAAGAATCTCGAGAAGCTCGATCAAGTGGTGAATAAGACCACTTGGATAATGTCGCCGCCGACCGTGAACGCTTATTATACGCCTACCAAGAATCAAATCGTCTTTCCCGCTGGTATTCTTCAGAGTCCGTTTTACGATATGGAGAACCCGAATAGTTTGAACTTTGGCGGCATAGGTGTAGTCATGGGACATGAGTTAACACACGCTTTTGATGATCAAGGTAACGAGTTTAAAGATGAATTAAAGCCAGGTCATATTTTTACATATAAATCTTAGAATCAAAAATAAAATACATATAATATGTATTTTATTATATTTTACAATATAATTAGCTTAAACACATTTGTTATAAAATGCATATTATGTATTATAAAATACTTATTATGTATTTTGTAACAAATGTGTGTAAGCTAATAATCTTGTAAACAAAATTATTTCAAATCAATGATTAACTTTATAGCCAAATTGCAGTCTTCAGGTACTTTTTATATATGGTATAGAGATTTTTACGCTTGAAGTAAATCTCAATAAAATTATTATTATTTTACTTGCAAAAAAGTATTTATAACATGTTCAGAATCAATCAAATTTATTCATTTATTGGAAAGTAATTTATTTAATTTTATGTTTATAACGTGCCGATTTAATTTTATCTTTATTACTTGTGTATTTTGGGTATAATATGTTGAACAGGTCGGGAGTACGATTTACATGGAAATTTGCATCAGTGGTGGAACGATGCCACGATAGAACGGTTTAAAAATAGAACAGAGTGTTTCGTGGAACAGTATAATCAGTATCAAGTACAAGGTCGAAATATAAATGGCCGACAGACCTTGGGTAATAATATTGATTATTAATAATTCAATGTGACAGAAATATCAGAGTCTAGACCGATCGATTGTAATGCACACAGGAGAGAATATCGCCGACAATGGGGGCCTTAAGGCAGCGTATCACGCTTATCTTTCGATGCCTAAAAGCTACAAAGATCAACTGCCGCTACCCGGTCTCAATCTGACGCATCGTCAACTATTCTTCCTGAATTTCGCAAAGGTTGTCTAATAGAATTTACTGCACGATATTGAATATAGACATTTAAAAAAAATTCGTATTTTTGTAAAAATGCAAAATAATGTAAATTGCACGATAATTTAATCAACGTGAGAAATTTCCGCAGGTGTGGTGCTCCGCTATAACAACCGAGGCAATGACTCTCCAGATCGAAAAGGATTCCCACAGTCCGCCGAGGTATAGGGTGATAGGACCACTTTCGAACCTGCCAGAATTCGCGATGGAATTCAACTGCCCTAAGGACTCGAAGATGAACCCGGTTCATAAGTGCGAAGTGTGGTAACGCCTCGTATTTTCTTTCAGACTGATTCATTGATGATTCAAGTTCGGTTTGAGCTTGATTTCTAGCGCCGTGGTATGGGACCGTTCGCGGCTTTCTATGCGCCGTTGCATAAGAGAGGGAGATACAATACACACGTCGTAAAACACGGAACTTGCTTCTGGCATCGAACTGTGCGTTTTCCTTTGCATATCATATACTTATCATATGTGGGGATAGCCGCTTGAAGTTTACGATTTCTTTAATGTGCATAATTTTGCACAATTTTCAAATTGTTAAAAAAAGTCTTTTTGGCTACTAGATTATACAGATTATCCTAATTTAAAATTGATTTTTTATTGTTTATCTTGTTAATGTTGTACTTAAAAATTAAGTAAATATTCGGGGGGTACGTGGATACATAAATTTATTTATTTTATATATTTCTAAAGATTTGTGAATCTTGAAATTAAAGAGGATTTATGTAGATTTCTCTCATACAGGCAAATTTAAACCTGCATGTGCGCAAAATATATCACGCACATTAGAATAATAGGAATTACATTTTTAGTTAATACTTTTTGTAAATCTAAACGAATCATTCTCTTCAATAACACGTCCGCAGAGCGGATTGACACTTTTTCACAATCACAAGACAACGCAAAAAGGAGGTAATTTTTATACTGTTTTGGAAGAGAGAAACCTATAAAATTGACAAGAAGTGATTTGTATATGCCAAATGTCACGAAAAGCTAAATATTTGGAAATGATTAGGGAATTTTCTGTTTGTCGAAAGAACACACACACACACACACACACACATATACATATACATACAAGAACTGTTACATGTATTATTCTTAATGTTGAGATGTGTCGCGATCAACATCACTTCTTTTTGACATAGTTATATCGATATGATATAGTTTATCGAGATTATTGAAAGCGCTAAAATCAACTAACGAAGAATGCAAAAATATTCTCAACACACATTACACTGTCGTTTTTCACTTTTATACATGGAATCGGTATTATAATAATCAATCGATTTAAACATAAAATGATGATTAAAAGCACTGAAGAATAGATAAAATTGATTTTTTAATATTTAAATTAGAAGAGAATATAGAAAAATTGCAAAATCAGATGATAATAATTAATAATTTTTCAACTTTTTAAAGTTACTGTTTCATTTTTTTTATATTTAAATTTCGAGCAGCTAGAATATCTAAAATATGTTTTACCGATGCAAGCAGTATTTTACAATACATTAACTATGACCTATAATATCATTTATAGTTTACGAACGTTATCAAATAATAAAAGCATTGAAAGTCTGAAAGTATAAAAATCTCGCAAGCTTCAATTTATTTTCTTTAAATATTTATAATTATTAATTTTTATGTTAATGTATATCAACATTTATAATAATTATTTTGTTAGTATTAATATCAACATTACACAAAATATAAACATCATTTTGCTTTCAATAATCTCGAGAAACTGTGCCTAGAAAGTAATTGGCTACATTTGCAGTCAGAATCTACTAGTATGTTTTATGTAGGCTTAAGAAGTTTATTGGGCAGAAAAAAATTGCTTACTCTTTTTCATGACTAGCGCGTGCTAGACGAAATTCGGTCGTCAAGATTGCGGTAACGCGACACGCGCATGCGAGACAACACTATTGCTGATGTCAAGAGAATTATTTTTAAATGTGCTTAATTGTATATAATTTTGTGGCATCCAGCGCATATTTGATATTCGAGCGAATTTGACTTAGAGACTAGCAGAGGTTTTCAACTTTTTCCATCCAGCGAGAAAACGTCTCCGTTAAAAGAATCGAGCCAAAATTTATTGTGTAAAATTGTGGATAAATTAAATTTAAATTTTTTTCTCGAAAAAAAAGGAAAAGGGAAGAAGGAGCTTTAAAATCTAAAAGAATGATTAGCTAAAATAAAAATTATTCAATTTCTGTGATCTTTTACAAAAATTATATATTATATTATATTTGCAAAAATTATTGTTCTTAATTCAATTTAAATGTTATATCAATTCTTGTGATTTAGATATGGTGCTCTTTATGGATAGTAAATGTGCAAGTTGTTTGACTTGATCTCATATATATTCTTTTTTTTCGCGAGAATTATATGTATATATCTTGTTATATTCAAATAATTGGATGCAAAAGAGCTTATAATAAATTATATTGTTATATTTAAATTTTAAATGATTGGATGCAGAAGAGCTTATAAAATGTAATATTTTATTGATAAAGGCTAAAACAGTTTGTAAATAATGTGATTTCTAGATTGAGAAGGCTTGTGTATGTCTATTGACATGGATGTCTAATGACATGTATCTTTGTTTTTAATACTTATATTAATATTAATTTTAGCGTTCTAATTAGTAAGAAACTTTAATCGGCCTGCAACGATCAAAACTCAAAACGAACAAAAATGTTGTAATCTTCTCGTGCTAAATGAAAGCGAAGTCAATAGCGAACATATCTTGGAATATCATAGACAATATGGGGATTATCGTGCAATAATTTAGTTTATTTCTGCGATATAAAAGACACGTGAAAAATTTCGTGTTTTACTTTATACTTTTTAATACCAAATAGACTCAAAGAGATTAACACACATGAATATAAATTAATGTAAAAAATGAAACTTACGATACATGATATGAGTCTTTTAGAAGTCAAACTGTTCAAATTCTTTTTTCTTTCAAAAAAATTTATTTAAAAAATTTACAAAGAAGTTGATCAAGATAATTTCCGAGAGGCTCATATATCACTGCAAAAATAGATGTAAAACAATCAATAAGTTTTGAGAAAGTTATTTTCCACAGGGGTATTATATTTAAATTCTTTTATATAAGATAAAAGACTTAGATTAATAACTTGCTAAATCACGTGAGACAAAGTAATTTTATATTCACGGTTTATGTTGCTTTATTATTTTAATAAAACACTCGCGATAAAAGATTCTGACGCGCGCGCGCAGTCAATTTCTTACAACTTATTTTTTTCAAAAATAATAACTTGTAAGAAATAAATTTTTAAAAAATATCCAAACGCAAAGAAAAGTAAATACTATTAATAATTCACGTGACATAGCATGTCATTATCCTTTCTGCATCTTGCGATGTATAGAAAATAATTAAATAGCGAAGCATATCTATGTACTATAAGTTAATTATCATAATTCATTCTCGTTTTGCTTTGAATTTTTTTTCCAAAAACTTTCAATTACAATGTGAGCATAATAATATTGCAGCTCGAACGTTGCATACTTCAAAAAAGATGTTAATCAAAATCTGATTTTTTTTTAAATATAAATCGAAATAAAATAAAAAAAGAGATACGTATAGTCTCTTCTTATAGAAGAAAGAGAACAAGTATTATATAGATAGCAAAAAACATCATTGTACATTATGTAAGACACACTTATTATTGACGCACGTAGTAAATTTATTTACGATCTCCAAAAAAAAAAATTCGTAACGAGACGTTCTATATTATAAAGGGACAAAAAAATTACCGATAATTAGATACCGATTAATTCGTCTTCAGATTACATTGCTAAATACCAAAGAAATGCCAAAGAAATTAATTTGGAATATTGTAACAACTCTAAACTCTAAAACTGACCCTGACACATTTTGATACAATAATTAAGTGAACCCATTAAGTCATAATTATTATATATTATAAGTTTTTTCTTCATTTTTTTATACACTTTTGTTCGAACAAACATTTGGACAAATAGCTGAAGAATTTAATTATTAAACTTTCGGAAATATTCTCTTTTAGAATAGAAACTAATCAAATATTAATGCATTTTTATGCTCGAGAAAATACGATATCTCGCAAGATGAAAAAATTCTACGATCCATTGGGGATATGTCTAGGATTAAATCTAGGATCCCTGTGTTAATATAGGGTTAAAAGCTCGTCAGATTTGAAAAATCGATGGGGTATGTATAATGCGGAAATGGGAAAATTTTAGGAAATACTGTGGGACATACCGTATCCAAGTATTTTATTCAAATCGTCCTCCCATCCCTCTCTTTTCCCGCATCTCCTTTAAAAAGTCAAAGTGGTAAAATACCACGTAAGAAGAAGCCAAATTTTCTCTAATTACAGCGTAAGATCCATATAGGCCTTAAATATTTGACGCCGATGCATAATGCATTTGTAAATGTTCGTTGTTTATAATAATTGTGAATAATGATTGTAATAATGAGAGGAGTATGTATCGTCTTTGCGATTACATTGTTGCGTGTTTGTGTTCGAGGATACTATTCGTGTATGGTTTCATGTAACACAAAAAGTGTATCGGTCAATGACGATGTTCGCCATGATTATTTTTCTGTATTGTACATTATGTACTATATATATATATATATATATATACATATATATATGCTTACATTATTAAATCAAAATTAAAGAAATAGACAAATTTTCGCGCTTACTGCTAGAATTATATTCTTTGCATCATTCACTTCCGTAAAATGTGCATCTCAAATGTGTTATATGTTTTATGTATTATATTTATATTAATATTTTCCAAAGTATTTATTTAATGAAAATTTTTTTCTAAGTTGAAGAAATTATGTGCAAGAAATTATGTAAGATACTAATTAGTGAGATAAACAGTATTGTTTATTATAATAAATTTTGATTTTGATTATACCATATGTGCATGTAATTTTTTTATAATACTAAAGACAGGTTTGAGATATTAGCTTTGGAATACTCGTGTGGATTATCTCGTTTATCGAAAATATAGAGATAATATTGTTGATGTAAGATTAATATAAGATTCAAGGATATTAATAATCACAAATATACGATATTTTTTACCATCGATTAATTCGCACTGTTACGTTCTGAAGAAATGTAGGATTTTTTATATTTTCAGATAATGTCGAGTTGAGCTTACGTGATCTTTTATATCTTAATCTCGCTTTATGATGTGTCTTTGTTGCATTTAAATTATTAACGCATGTTTCCAATAATATCAAATTAAAATTTATCTTCTTCCATTGCAATTTATACCACATGTTTTCCAAAATGCAAATTAATACACTGATAATAACCATTATGAAGAACAAACAAATAGTTAAATGAATGTGCACGTAGTCCACCGGGTGGAAACTGTTCGAATGAAGATAATAATTAGATCGTCTATAAGTTTCTTCTGAGATCCACTTTTTTTCAAGATGTCTGAATATTCCGGCCGAACGCATACGCATTAAGCTATCCCATAATTAATAATATATAATTAATAATATATAATCGCATAATAAATAATTTGCTAATACTGAAGGAGAGCTTATTGTTTTCTTCGATTTTGCCGAAACTGTGAAGTATTATCAATTTTTGTGCGTAAATCACGAATCTGTAAATTAAAACTGTGACTCTTAAGTAGAAAAAAATTACAGTAGATTCCGCCCCCCAAATATTTTACTCTTTCTTTCATCATCTTGAAATAATTTCCATTATTTATATTTTACAGAGTTTACTTCAATGTTGCGCATCGTATTGGTGAGTCTCATTAATTTTTATTTAAATTTTGGATTTTCCGATTTTTTTGCCAAAACTTTACAATATTGTATATTATTTTTGTGTGTGAAACACAATATGTAAATTAAAATCTTCTACGGAGGGAGGGTGGAACCCACTGTAACTTTTTTCTTACTTAAGAGCGACAATTTTAATAATTTACAGATTTGTGTTTTACGCACCAAAAATACACAATATTGTAAAGTTTCGGCAAATTGGAGAGGAAGAAGTTCTCTTTCACTATTACCAACAATTTGAACAAAATTTACAAATTACGTATATAATATACAATATAATAAATAATCAATAGAATGCCAATAAATAATTAATTAATTCTTAATGACTAAAAATTCTCTCATCGATAACTTAATATTTTTTTCTCAAATAAATATCGATTTTATTTTGACATGCAAATAAATCTTTATTATATATATATACCAAAATTTATATTTAAAGTTATATAAAATGATTAAAAAAAATGATACTCACTAAGTGTCAATTAATCGCCGATGTTGCGCTACTCTGGCATGCAGAAACGACATTCTGACGGTCCAATAAGTGTCGGGCAGTTGTATTATGTGGCAATTGTGCTCAACTTTACGATAAATTGACAGAAACATGACAGGTATTTCCAAATAGGCGAAATCAGGACGGCATAATATCGAAGCGGCAATCTCACTGTCCTTCATGTCGGGGCAGTCATCGTTTACCAATCCTTTCCATACAGCTCGTAGCTCACCTTTCTCTGATCCATCCTGTAGAATATTAAAATTTCCCAAGACACGTGAAATATCTCTTTCATTTGTATTTTTTAATCGAAAAGCTGTGCGCAAAAATTCACGTTACATTCATACATTTTTTTTTATTTCTATTTTTTACTTACCACTGTAAAATAACGATATGCACTGCTGTCGTTTCTGACACAAAGCGTGTGTGTCCTACTCATCGCCACGTCGTCGAGATTATCTAGAGGAACGGAGTTTCCTATATTCGCCAGACCGGAGGTAAGAGCACTGCAGAATCCGCATGACAACAACATCCCCATCACCATAAAAGATAGAATTATTAATCGGAGAGGCCAACTTGTCGGTATTTCCTGAAACCCTAAATAACAAACATGACAAATTCAACTCGTCGCATTTTATCGTTTATTTATTCATTCATTTGTACGCATTTTTTTAATTACATACGTAAGTACAAAAAATGGTAATTTTTTACATACTACTTATTATATATAATTCGATTTTACTACATACTCTTAAAATTTTTTGAAAACTTTATATATACAGGGTATATCTAAATAAATGCGACAAATTTTAGGAAATGATTCTTTGTCGAAAATTAAAAAGGGTTTCTACATAAACATATACTCTTATATTTCTCCGTGAAATTTTCTAAAGAGGGAGGTAAAAATTAAATTTTTTTTTTTCAAATTTCAAGCAAATTAAAAAAATGAAACTTGTGGATATTTTCCTTTTAATTTTTTTAATTTGTCTAAAATTTGAGAAAAAAATAAAAACTTAATTTTTACCTCCCTCTTTAGAAAAGTGTAACTTCTCACCTCAGGGAGAAATATAAGAGTATATATGTTTATGTAAGAAACTTTCCTTAATTTTCGACAAAGAATCACCTAAAATTTGTCGCACTTATTCAGATACATTCTGTATATAAATATGTACATTCCATACGTTACCTTGGCCAGTCATGCCACCTAAGACGTACAGGAAATTGAAAGATAATGTGGAAAGCTCATCATTGAACTCTTCGTAATTAATATAGATAAGCTTCTTTACATGATATATTCCCATGATGCTGAATGCAATACAAATAACGGATATCAGAGAAGCTAGCCATAAACCATGACTGAAGATATTAATGTACCACCATTTGGTGATAACCGCACCCTCCGACTGAACAAATAGATTGTATCTAAGGGTGAAAAATTTAACAATAATTAATTGCAATTAGAAAGATGTGCGAACGCAATTTAATTAATCATTATCTGTAAACGGGACTTTTGGAAAATATAAATAGTTTCCGGAAGATCGTGCGACGATTATATTATTACAATTACATGGAATTACACAAGATTGAAATGATCTTTGACTCTATACTCCATGATAACCAGACTTAATGCAGTATACCGTATTCGTGATAAGCAAATTTACTCCGGATAACGATCGCGATGCGAAAACTTGCCATCGCTTTCGCGGAACGCCACGCGAAGAGAAAACGAAATCAGAAAGTCATTAACCAAGATACGATCGCGGGACGTATTATACATCTCTATAGGTGGACTAAGCGGAACGGGTTAACGACCGGCGTAAACGCGGCAAGTTGAAAAAAAAGCGTCGCGCGAACGAAAGCTCGCGATAAAAGGGCGCGCGCGACCCCTTCGTCGGCCTCTGGAGAAGAAGGGGTGGATTGGTGGTGAAAAAATTAAGTGGCTGGCTGGGATGTTCGACTTACGAGTTGGTTGTGAGCGGCACGCTGTAGGCGTAATAACTCGACGTGTACGAGTGCATCGCCGTGGCGATCAGCAGTGCGTCAGTATCTCCATTCATCAGGGTCGCGGTGGCGCGTGTCTTTCTTCGGTAAATCGTCCTGCATTTTGGTCGAAGAGACGCCTTTATTACGGTGCCGCGCACTCACTCTTCCCTCTTCTCATCCCCCATCCACCCTTTTTTACCCCTTTCGCTTCTCTCCCTCCCGCGCGTTCCATACTTCCATCCTGATACTATACTTATACCTGTCTAGACGAATGAATCATGCGAGTATTTTGACCCACACCGGCGCGGCGACGTGGGTGTGGGTGGTACGCGGAAAATTGGGCAGGTTCTACGTACGGCTTCGTCACACATACCCCTTTGAAGACGCGTCGTCTTGAAAATCGTCCGTATAAAATTGCCGTCAAGATGATATTACGGCTGTTTTCGGCTATATACAGATACGACGCGGGAAAGGAAGCGAGGGTACTTTCTTGGCCTCCCGAAATAATCTCTTGAGTGAAAAAGCTTTTGTCAACATGGATATTTGATTCTCAATAGCTGTCACGTGAATCTAAATTTATTCAGAATATTTTTAACTACTTTATACGAGTCCGCTGTCAATGTTAACTTACATCAGGTATAAGGTAATAGTGACTCGCTTTCTTTTTTCTCAAATTTTTACCTCTTTCTCTACTCTGCAAAATTATAGAAAATATTTCGGAAAAACTTTTATATATATCATTCAAAAATGTATACCCTGTTTTTTGAGAAAAAGAAGAGAATATAAATATTTTAAGTAATCACTTTTTCTTTTTTTTTTTCAAAAGTTGAAAAATTTGATCAATTTTACCTCTCTCTCTACTCTGCACAATTATAAAAAAATATTTTGGATAAACCTTTAATTTAAAAAATGTATATCCTATTTTTGAGAAAAAGAAGAGAATATAAATATGTTAAGTAATCACTTTTTCTTTTTTTCTCAAAAGTTGAAAAATTTGATCAATTTTACCTCTCTCTCTACTCTGCACAATTATAAAAAAATATTTTGGATAAACCTTTAATTTAAAAAATGTATATCCTATTTTTTGAGAAAAAGAAGAGAATATAAATATTTTAATTATAATTAAGTATCAAATACGACACTAACTTGAATTTCAAAGCTTCTTCCAATGCCGTCCAGGTATCTCCTATGAATCCCGTCACTTCGTTCTTATTCGTATCTATGAAGATATATGGACTCATCTAAAATGATATTTTTCTTTGGGCGATGTACTGTTTCGATTATCGCGGACCGAAAAAACGATGTTAATGACAAGCGAGGGGTCCTGATCGGAGATCCTGATACTTACAAAATCCGTATCGACGACGAGGGTCCTTCCACGCATGTCGTTTATCGCGTTGACGCTGCAGAAAGCAGTGTCGTTCCACTTTAGCGCCTCGAGCTGCTCGAATTCCTCGGTGATCGCGTTCCAACGCCAAACGTGTCCCGGTTTCTTCTGGATGATCTTGGTTTCCTGTCTGTTCCGTAAGAGTCTGAGACATATCTCCCCCACAACACACGGAAGTATCACCTGCAACAACCGTTCGTTACGCGATATTTAATCAAAGCATGTATAATAAAATTGCCGCCACTAAATTTTTGCGAACGAAAAATAAGAATGGAAAAATAAATTATTTAAATTTGTTAAAAAATAACGCGAGATATCGCAGCACCGATAAAAATAGATGCTTCATCATGTCGTTTCACTTTACGCTTCGATGTTTCCAATTTTACTGCGCGAACAAGACTGTGGAATTCACATGAAATCTTATATTGTTCTTTGTCGCATGAATAGAGGAATAATTGACAGGTTTGACGAAAAGATGAAAAGCTATTGTTGGCATTTTATTGCGTCGCGTCAAATATCGATAAGTGTAAGTGTGCGTGAGAGAATTTGTGTTGTGCCATATACCCATGCGAGAAGTTATATCTTTTCGAGAATAAATTGAATGTGATATATAATCTGTATTTATTATAAAACATATTTGTTTGTTTATTTAATACTCTGATTATATTGATCCTTCCGAAAATTATCGAGAAAGTGTTATTCACAGTTGTTATGATAACTTTCAGATAAGCTCTGGAAATTCCCAATAACTTAATTTCAGCGATAAAAAGATTAAGAAAAAATATAAAAAAAGTTTTTATTGCAAACATGACGTAAAGGGTAAATAACTTCAAATAATGCGCATCATTTTTTATTCGATTAAATGAAGCCATTTAGTTGTGTGACAATAAATATTTCATATTTACTAGAACAATACAATCGTGTACTACGCACACTCCATTCTTCGATTTTAGATTAAAAGAATAATATTCTTAAAAAAATTATATAAAATTTAAACTCGATTAATATTTTTGACAGAAATCAGTTGATTAAAATGTTAATTCGCAAATTAAATTTTAAAAGAAAAATGTGTTATAGAAATTAAAATAATATTGTAAATAATATGTTATAATACTTTACCCGAATAATATTTTTTGGCAGAAATTAGCTAATAACTGTCAAAAATATTAATCAAATTAAAAAATGTTTAAAACATATTTTAATTTTTAAAACATATTATTTTAACAATCAAAAATTTTGTTTGGATCTCTCATCGCCAGGAATGTTAAAACACGGGTAATAATCTTAATTCGACGACACTGGCTTCAATATGATTGATTTTAATGAATTTTATTTGCCGTTTCGACCATGCGGGATGTGGTCCTTTTCAAAAAATTGATAGAGCGTAATTATAATGTAATTTCTTGCTGTATCCTATTTTGTTAATGCTGGTTATATTGCCTTTCCAGAACACTCTATAAATTTTTTGAAAAGGACCACATCCCGCATGGTCAAAACGTCAAATAAAATTTATTAAAATCAATCATATTGAAGCCAGTGTCGTCGAATTAAGTATATCATTTTAAAATTTAATTAGCAAATTAACGCTTTAATCAGCTGATTTTTGCCAAAAATTATTAATAAAGCGTTAATTTGTTAATTAAATTTTAAAACAATATGTAAAATATTAAAATATGTTTTAAATAATATCTTATCCACAATTAGTATTTTTTGACAGAAATCAGTTGATAACTGTAACTCAAAAATAATAATCGAGTTTAAAATATTATAACACGTTTAAAACATATTATATTATTATTTTATTTTATTTTATCTTAATAATAGCTTAATAAGTAACTGAGACACAGAAATTTGTTCGATCGCACCGCACGGACTTAATATACTCATGCTCGTAAGATTGTACATGCGAGAAAGTTTCCCTTAGTGCTTTCCTTCGTGCGATGCGATTTTAACAATGTTTATGTTCTTCATTTATTAATTGTTATACGATTTGTCACGTGTACATACTCTAAAAATAGCTTACGATATTTAAAATGTATTTTTTTAAGCATTGTAAGCTATTTTTAGCATACACGTGACAAATTATATAGTAATCGTATTGTAATATTAATACGGAGTGATTTAAAGCGCTTTCTTGCATGTACGAACGTGGATATTTAAATTTGCGCGATGCAATTTTAAAAACTTAACTCTATTAATAGTTATTTCTATCAATTACATAATTCGTAATTTTTTTAATATTCAGTAATATGTTGTAAATAATATGTTATAACACATCATCCTCGATTAATATTTTTTAACAGAAATCAGCTGATAACTGTCAAAAATAATAATCAAATTTAAAGTTTTATTACATATTATTTAAAACATATTATTTTAATTTATATAACATGTTAAAACAGTAATAATAGTTTATATAATATATTATATTACGTCGTTTTGTATTGTAAGTTCAAAAATAGTGATAGAAACGCTTGTCTGATGAAGACTTCAACGCTTGGCGAACGCTGTATCATTATACATATGATACAAATAATAAATTCTATAATCTTTTCAGATACAACTTTAAGTGCATACATACCTTTGCATTTATATTTTTGTACCAAATGTTTTAGATTTATGTTTTTTGGTCTCAGATATGACAATAAAACAATTTTTTGTCAGAAAACTAATATTTATCGCAAACTTCTAATTTTAACATGCAAATTCACATAACAATTAAGTGTTAAATTAATTATTGTACAAGATATGTTTATATGTATTGTGAAACGAAAATTTCTTATGTACTCGACGTAAGAGTGTCATGCTGAATCATTCTTCTAACGAATACAATTAAGCTGTTGAAATTTAATTTATAATTAAAAAAAAAATTAGTTTGCATAAATGGATAAGATAACTTCGTATATAATTTTATTTGCATACATTTTGATGTAAAATTCCATAAGTGATCTCTTTAGATCATTTATTAATTTTTGCAATAAGTAGTCCTAACTTGTTAGCTTTCTCATAAACAACAAAAATACCGACTATCTTGCTTATTTCGACATTCTTTTTGATACTTTTGATATTCTTAAAAAAATTGAAGCCTATGGTCCATGATTTAGATACAAAGATGTTATATAATTGTAAATTACGATTCATCCATATACATAAAGACACTTTGTCAAATGAGCTGCTCAGTACATAAGCTCCCCTGTAAAGATGCGTTCAATGTTAAGTACTTCCGTTTAATTAACTGACAGTTGCGTTCCGTCTTGCGTGGCTCTCGGTGTCTTTCGACACTGGATGTAATAAGTTGCCTTCTCTTACAAATCCGATTTTAATTTTTTCCTTAAATGCTCGACGCTATTCTCTAGCCCACGCATTGACTTGCTGATTTTTCAGACATTATACAATGCTTCCGAGCAACCACCGGTCGAATAATTCCTTCCTCAACAGCTGAAATTGAGAGAAGGCTTGTTGATATACTGATCGTTCATAAAAAAAATTGCTGAGATCACAGAAGAGCGTATGCACTCTTCAACTTTGATATATGTACATCTATATATGTATGTGAACTATTACACAGCTCCACAAAAAAAAATCAAAGTTTTGTTTGCGGGGACCTGACCCATCTTACTATATGTAATCGAGCGTGCTGAAACCGAATCCGGAGTCCAAATAACCCCATCACGACAGGTTTTTTTAACCTTAAAAAATAGGCTAAAAATCATAAAATTCAATATAAATTTAAACAAAACCCCATAATCATGTATCCCATCAACCTCACAATCTCATAACTTTAAAACCCCATAACCAAATAATCGAATAATCGTGTGGCCATCTAAGGTCCATGTATTTACATTTTACCGAACTCAGGAACAACGACGTAGACGTAGCAGGCTTCTGTTTCCTTTGGGATGCTTTATTTACGTGAGTCCCCTTGTCTCTCACGAGTAATAAAAGTTGAATAAATAAATAAAAATAAGAATTAAAATAGAGGAAAGTTATGTTAAATTCTATCCATTGTTTCTTGATTCTTTATGATAACGCACTTGTTTTTCTTCTAATATTACAATAGAAATCGTTTATGATAACGCACTTGTTTTTCTTCTAATATTAGAAATCGTTTATGATAACGCACTTGTTTTTCTTCTAATATTACAATAGAAATCGTTTCTGATAACGCACTTGTTTTTCTTCTAATATTAGAAATCGTTTATGATAACGCACTTGTTTTTCTTCTCAGCACGGTTAATTACATATAGTAAGGTGAGTCAGGTCTCTGCAAACAAAACTTCGATTTTTTGTGTGGAGCTGTGTTATTTTATATTGCACGACTTTACATTTTATATTATTTAATAGTTACTGATGGATCTAACCTTCTGATTTTTTCAATTTGATCAATCAATCAATCAATTAGTTTTTAAATATACAATTAGCTTTTATAGAAAGAGTTCTTTTAAAGTAAAGGACTCTAAAGGAATAAAAATGAAGAGTATTGTACCGATAACGGTGATCCAACGAATCAAGCCTCGTCAGAAAAGAAGCAATCGCAAAAGCGAAATATCTTCGGCGAAGCTATAAGCAATTTTGTTTCGGAGTATGCAAATTATTATAATTGATTCCAGAAAAGAAACGACGAAACAAGTAGGAGAAATATGGAGATTGGTGGTCAGGTAGCTATAAAACTTTATTGGACGACATAATGCACCTTAGTAGTGCAGTTACAATGTAAGAGCGACCCGTCGTTCAGATATGATAATCTTTAAAATCAGATATGATGACAGAGTTCGTTGCCGATCAAGGTACTCATTACTTGACGATCAATGCGTTAAACTTAAACAGATATCACAGAAATTTCGGTGGAACGCAACAGCCGAGTGTTCTTCACTTTTCATCTTCCGAACACGCACGAATACATCGCTTTTAATCAAAATGAATTATTTTACCGTTAGACAATCATCCCCTTGATATTTCTTCCATTATTCTGAAGCGTTTATCTGAGAGTTTGTCAAAAACTCGTAATTAGAACACCATTTATATTCTTTGTACGACACGTTTCTTGAATTATCCCTTCTTGTTTTAAAATAATACTCAAGAAGGATATATTGCTTTTAACCGGAATAAATTATTTTAGACAAAGTGTTTATCTGTCAGTTCGTTAAAAATTAGGTCCTCGTAATTAGAACTTAATTTATATTTTTTATATGACACCTTCTCGAACTGCCTTCTCATTTTTCTAAAAATAATACTCAGGAAAAAGTCTTTTTCTCCCTTCGAGTTTTCTCTAGAAGAAGGCTACTCTATACATCAAAATTCGAAGCATACGCGTTCCGGCGTTTTAATTTGCAATTCAAAAATCTGTCTTACCAAAAACAAAGCACGTGATTCAACGATCCGATGCAATCGACCGCGCCTATCCGAAATCTCCGGGTTTCTCTCACGAGGAAGATGTATGTGAAATGCAAAGAGATCGACGAGATTTAGGATACAGTGGTGCATCTTTGATTGCGCGCAGCAGGATTCAAATCTTTTTGAGGCCCCATTTGAATTTCAAATAGTAAACCCGACCTGGACCCAGCTATCTCGCGTTCGCTGGACCCGATCTCTTCATCTCTCAACCTTTTTCCCTCCTCTTTTCTTTCCAGCCACCATATTTCGCTATCGTGCATCGCGCTAGCTCCTACGTGTCCTCGATTTCGGATAAGCATAAAAGATTCGATTCGATTGATCGATCGGTCAAGACCACACAAATTGCACGCGTTCGGACGACAATGTGTGCAACACGAAAACGAATTTGAAAGTTTTATATACGGTATACGCGATAAAGTGTAAGTCTATCTCTTTGCGCGTGGTTTAAAAAAAGGAACAAAAAAAAAAGATTTCACAGTCGGACGGATGCGATCGTTTCTCGTTTAACGGCGTGATATACATAAAACATTTCCGTGCGACCGACATGGAACGCACTTTCGAACTTTTTTCACTTTCATGCACTAATTTTTGTTCGAAGTTACTCGTGAATCGATGATGAGATAAAAATGATAATTGTAATTGTAGTAACTTGAACGCAACGATAAAAAATGAAAAAATTAATAACAGAAATTAAGCAAAGATCGAACTGTATATAGATAATAATTTTCTATATAGATATCTAAGAGTAATTAAAAATCGTGTATTAATTTTTTTTATATTTGAAGCTACGCGTGACAGTTTTAAATCGATGATGGGATAATGTAGGATATTTTTATTTATAGATATCTAAGAGTAATTAAAAATCGTGTATTAATTTTTTTAATATTTGAAGCTACGCGTGACAGTTTTAAATCGATGATGGGATAATGTAGGATATTTTTATTTTCTCGGTTATATTTTACATTACATTATTCGAATTTTCGTCGTTTCGTATATGTATTATATCAACTTTTCGTTGTGACCCCGACTTTATTATTCTAAACAAGTCTCCAATAACTCCTCTAAGAGGCTTGACGTGTTGTCAAACCGACACTGTGTTCGTTCTTGACATCTTAAATTTATGATTTTATTTTTGTTTTTACAGAACACTTGAAAAGAACTCAAAAAAGGGTCGAAACGTTGTGATTAAATAAATAATATTTACCAGTACGGTCGAGAGAAGATTCTTATACCTTCTAAACAAGGTTGATCGCGCGCGCTGTTCTTTTCTTCTTTTTATCTCAAATTTATCAAGTGCGAAATAAATTAATTTCCCGAATAAATAAAAAATTATTAACCCCAAATCCGAATAAAATCCTACAATAATAACTCTAGTTGTAATAATATATAATATAGTCTCAAAGCAATAATATAAAATTAATAAACAAATTCAACAACAGAAATGAAGTAAAGATCGAACTGTATAGATATCTTAAGAACAATTTAAAATCGTATATCTATTACAAAGTGATAAATCTAAGGCCAACTTATCGAGCTGAATATTCGAGATGTTCAGTCAACTACCATTTATTACATGTATAAATTATAAAACTACAGTCATTAGATATTAAAACTAACGCAAATTAAAATCATTCTAAACGTTTCGACCGCACGCGGTCTTCTTCAGTATAATTCTTGAAATATAAATTTATACAACATCACATAATATCGGAATTTAATTATAATTATTCAGAATCGAGAGTCTTTGAGCAATTAACACGTGTTCTAATTCGTCATGTCCAACAATGTTCGCCTCGATATGATGAGAAAAATCAGAGATCATATCGAGGCGAACATTGTTGGACATGACGAATTAGAACACGTGTTAATTGCTCAAAGACTCTCGATTCTGAATAATTATAATTAAATTCCGATATTATGTGAAGTTGTATGAATTTATATTTCAAGAATTATACTGAAGAAGACCGCGTGCGGTCGAAACGTTTAGAATGATTTTAATTTGCGTTAGTTTTAATATCTAATGACTGTAGTTTTATAATTTATACATGTAATAAATGGTAGTTGACTGAACATCTCGAATATTCAGCTCGATAAGTTGGCCTTAGATTTATCACTTTGTTTTCAATATACGAGCGACAATTTGTATTAATTTATTCGTATATCTATTTTTGCTATTTAAAACAGTCGAAGAATAATTACCTATATTCTAAACAAGGTTGATCGCGCGCGCTGTTCTTTTCTTTTTATCTCAAATTTATCAAGTGCGAAATAAATTAATTTCCTGAATAAATAACAAATTATTAACCCCAAATCCGAATAAAATCCTACAATAATAACTCTAGTTGTAATAATATATAATATAGTTTCAAAGCAATAATATAAAATTAATAAACAAATTCAACAACAGAAATGAAGTAAAGATCGAACTGTATAGATATCTAAGAACAATTTAAAATCGTATATCTATTTTTGCTATTTAAAACAGTCGAAGAATAATTACCTATATTCTAAAAGTTGATCGCGCGCGCTGTTCTTTTCTTCTTTTTATCCAAATATCATCAAGTGCGAAATAAATTAATTTCCCGAATAAATAACAAATTATTAACCCCAAATCCGAATAAAATCCTACAATAATAACTCTAGTTGTAATAATATATAATATAGTTTCAAAGCAATAATATAAAATTAATAAACAAATTCAACAACAGAAATGAAGTAAAGATCGAACTGTATAGATATCTAAGAACAATTTAAAATCGTATATCTATTTTTGCTATTTAAAACAGTCGAAGAATAATTACCTATATTCTAAAAGTTGATCGCGCGCGCTGTTCTTTTCTTCTTTTTATCCAAATATCATCAAGTGCGAAATAAATTAATTTCCTGAATAAATAACAAATTATTAACCCCAAATCCGAATAAAATCCTACAATAATAACTCTAGTTGTAATAATATATAATATAGTTTCAAAGCAATAATATAAAATTAATAAACAAATTCAACAACAGAAATGAAGTAAAGATCGAACTGTATAGATATCTTAAGAACAATTTAAAATCGTATATCTATTTTTGCTATTTAAAACAGTCGAAGAATAATTACCTATATTCTAAAAGTTGATCGCGCGCGCTGTTCTTTTCTTCTTTTTATCCAAATATCATCAAGTGCGAAATAAATTAATTTCCTGAACAAATAACAAATTATTAACCCCAAATCCGAATAAAATTCTACAATAACAACTCTAGTTGTAATAATACATAATATAGTCTCAAAGCAATAATATAAAATTAATAAACAAATTCAACAACAGAAATGAAGTAAAGATCGAACTGTATAGATATCTAAGAACAATTTCAAATCGTCCATCTATTTTTCCTATCTCAAAACAGTCAAGGAATATTTAATCGAACCCCTTCGGGGTTCGTTAAAGCAAGCGCTATCTCATAGATCGCCAGAAATTCCTTTTCCAAAAAGGTTCTTCCGAAGCTTTTCTTGATGCTAATCGAGGAGCGCGCTACACGATCCCGATATCCCTCATCATATCGACTTAACTCATTGTCACAAGGGGGATGGCGGGGTGGAGGGACAGAGGAAGAGAGGGCACGGTCGGTGCCCGTGTGAATCCTTTCGGCGATCGTGACACGATCTCTGACGGACCGTGACAAATCGGCGCGTACATATGTATAGGGATAAGAACCGAAGTTAAAGCTCTGTATACTTCGCGAGGGAATCGCGGTGGCGTGAGGGGTCGAAGAAGAGGTCCCCGTACATGAGGAACGGTGGGATATATGGTGGGTGCGACGGTCGGGTTTATAAGAGGGCGATAGAGGGGTCGGAGGAGAGGAGGAGGCATTCGCGGCGGCGGCGACGGCGACAGCGGAGGCGGTGACGAAAAGGGTTGGGAACGGCGGGGAATAGCGAGAGAAAGAGAGAGAGAAAGAGGGTTGGGTAGAGGGGAACATTTGTTAGCTGCGGGTGTACGTTCGGCCCCTACAACGCGCGAGTGCGTAAGATACTCTCCGCGGGAGAGAGAGAAGAGAGACGTTCGCGCGAAGGAGGGAGATGGCAAAGTAGCTGTGAGGGATGGAAGGGGAAGAAGAAAGAAGAAGTAGAGAGGATAAGGCTCCACTTCGGACATATATGCGATGAGAATTCGCGCCTTCTGTCTCAGTGCTTGACAGGCCGGCAAGCTCTTAGGATCCATCGGGTTCTACCAGTCACGTCGCAGACCCTCGATCACCTTCTTCGCTTCGGGTGCCCGACCGAATATTAGCGGGCGGTTGACGGTTCGCAGACTCGAGGGTGATGCTGAAAGGTTTAGCGCGACAGACTGGTACCCCGCAACAATAGTAACATAGGAACCCGGTGGTGCCGGCCGAGTCGAAGTACCGGAAGTGTATAACGTCGGAGACAGGAAGGGTGACGAAGATAGTCGCACGACACGAGAGGATTCATCCCATCGCCGAAGATTGAAGGTAACCAGGTCGGATTATCGCGCGATGACGTTTAAAGGTGAACCGACAGGAAGCGGGAACTGTCACTGAAACGATCACGTGACAACGCGTGAACCGACAGTAGAACCGGGGTTGAAGGTCACGAAGATGTGCCGGACCGTATGATCTTGAGGACACTTTGCGTAAATACTCTAAAGTGCCTTGTGATTTTTTTCTTTCTTTCTTTCTTTCTTTCTCTCTCTTGTAGTGATTTTTGGTGTGCGTGAGAACAGTTTTGGTGAACACCATAAAAAGTGGAGCAACTGGACCGTGCGGATCGTCGTCTTCAGGGGACGGTGACGAGTTTCACGATAAAGGGACCAGAAAATTCCTGCAAGAGAAGAACGTATGATCGGGCAAGTTCGGGAAGAAGCTGGCGGTGGGACTTTTTTAGCGAAGAAGGCCAGAGGTGCGCAGGAAGAAGTAGAAATTCTGTAAGGAGCGCGAAATAGAAGCTATATACACGAGAAAGTTCAAGATCCGTCTCGGAGGGAAGACAGAACAAACTCGAGGAGCGACGAACGACGATGCTATCGATCATCTGATCGTTCCTGTCGCGACAAAGGCCGATCGTAGTTGATTCAAAGTTGATTCAACTAAGAGCGACCTTGAACAAAATGGTCACGAGGGCGCTTTTATTACTCTCGTTGGTCCTCCTTGGTGCCTTCGACGTCCCCGGCGTCGAGAGAACCCATGTCCGGCACTTGGCGATGGCAGGTAACGCCTGCAACGCCTGCAGGATCCACGAAGAGATCCGCGCGCTTAGTCTGGAAGCGATCAAGGAACAGATCCTGAACAAGCTGGGCTTAAAACAGGCGCCCAACATGACGGGTCGGGTTTTGCCAAAAATCCCACCCGTCTCGAAGCTGTTGGACAGGTTCGAGATGCAGGCCGATCAGCCACTTGAGTCTGGTATCACGCACTACGAAGAGGTTGATGAGTATACCGCCAAAACGGAGACCGTCTTTGCCTTGGCGCAGCCACGTAAGTTTCTTCTTCCTTTTTTTTTTTTTTTTTTAAATATTTCACAACTTTTCGAGACCTAGAAATGCATAATAAATATTATGGGAAGAGAAAAAATAATTATATACTATTTCATTTTATTTTAATTTTCTTCGTATATTTGTTAGAGGGTGTATCTCAATTCCGGACATCCTGAACATTATTATTTTTAAGTTACATTTTTTCAATTTTATTCGTATATATAACTTTGTATATTTTTTATTTCGATTTTGAAATTTCTTCTTCCCTTTTTTTTTACATTCTTCGGTGAATTAAAAATATTTTATAACTTTTCGAGACCTATAGAAATGCATAATAAAAATTATGAGAAGAGAAAAAATTCATATGCCATTTTATTTTATTTTACTTTTCTTTGTATATTTGTTAGAGAAGGTATCTCAATTCCGGACATCCTGAACATTATTATTTTTAAGTTACATTTTTTCAATTTTATTCATATATATAACTTTGTATATTTTTCATTTCGATTTTGAAATTTATTCTTCTTTATTTTTACGAGAAATTATATCTGGATATTATCAATATGTTAATTTCACAAAAATATTAACTTGATTACAATTTTAATTCTTATGACATAAATCATAAATCTAAAAATAGATAATGAAAAATTTTAATTTTAAAATTTTGTCAGATTCTACGTAGTAATCAAAATGTGCACGAGATGTTACAATATACACAACATGTAATGTGATATTGAAAATTTTTCACAATGAATTATTAAATATAATATACATATAAGTCGAGTTGCGATCATTTTTCTGCAAGATATTTAATTTTAATATACGACTGTGCAAAAACTGGTTGCGTAACTTATGTTAGTAAAAGGTAATGTTATCCATGGCGCCAGGTTGCGGTAAGATCTTTATCTTGTCATGGTTTATTCAAAATTAATTACCGCAAAATATGGTATTATTTCATACACGACACACCGATCATGTTTTCCTTGACAACTTTAAGTAACTTCTCAGGTAACTTCAGCTATTTTTAACGATTCTCGCTGATCTGTTCAACGTATAAACACATCACATTGTACATAATTGCATCGTATAAGCATTACTGAACATCGCATAATTTTATATATATATATTTGTATGTGGGTATATGTTTGCACTGCTAAGGTAACAATTATATAATTGGCTTTTATACATATCGGATATACATCATATTGCTTTAAGATTTATCCGATAATTTGCACTTACTGCAACAAATCTTCAAGAAGAACATGGAAAATTTGGTAAATCTCTGTAAAATATATAAATAAATTAAAACTAATTAAAATAAAAAAATTTAATTTTGTGAAATTAAATATTCAATCTCTGAAATCGAAGATTGTTTTTGAAATATGTGGATGTTTTTATCACACACTTTTTTGTCATGATGTTATTTATTAGCTTTATGATTCAATGTCAAATATAGAAGGTAATATAATTTCTTAATATTTGGATCTCGAATAAACATCTTTAAATTCTTTGTTTTGTTGTTTAGTATCTTATTGTACAATTTATAATAATCGAAAAAAATGAATAGATAGCATTTGAAATAAGTATTTAATATTTCTATAAAATTTTAAAGACTAAAGTTTACAATAATTTTTTAAATTTTTAATTTTTTATTTATTTAGTTTATATAATCAAATAATTTATTTATTGAGTTTACATAATCAAATAATTTACTCTCTAAAACTGCTATATATCAATTTAGTCTTATTAGTAGTACATATGGCATGTTCTTCTGAGTGCTTTATATAAATGTATTCAAATGATTAATGCTGACTAAAATTAAACTCTTTAATCGTTAATAGTACAATTTTAGACTTGATTCGATTTTGGACGCATCTTCTGACAACTTTGATTGCTTTGAGAGTTTTCGCAAGGCGATAATAGGCCTTATCAAGGCTCCGACCTCTCTCTCGCTGCTCTTAGTTAGTCCCTACATAATATCTTACACTAGGTGTCTCAGAATTCGCACATTTCGAATTTTTCGACAGTTCTTCGCAATTTTTGTATACAATTTCTTGTTGCAAGAATTGAAGAAGAAATGATCATCGGCCATAAATTTATGACATGTGATCAATATTTTCACTGTTAATTAATCCTCTAATAATACAAAATACACAAATTTAATAAGAAATGAGAAGGCTGACGGATAAGATAGTTCTGCGCAGTGTACTACGTAAAAGGAATTGGGAATGTTAAATATCATCTTTACTCGACTCTACTGATAAAGGCTTAAGAGCATTGCGTGTTTTCGGGGACACCCCGTATGCATTCCGTGTATAATATACACTTGTTAAGGAACAGAAAGAGAACTCCAAACGCGGTCCGTCGCCGCACGAGTCCCTCGGGCGAAAGTGCCTTCGAGCCACTTGCCGCTAAGCGCGTAATAGTGGCGGTAGGACCGCAACCCACTATTAGGGCCTCCGTATGTTCGCGAAAAGGAAAAGAAAAATGAAACAAAATAAGATCAACGACCTGCTTAGGAGAGGAACCGATCGGTTCTCGGGGGCTGTCGGTGCTTTCTCGAAACGAAATTTGAATTTCATTAGCATAATTTTGATCCGCCTTTTCCGAGGACGGCGAGTTTGACAGAATTTCACCGGCTCATCGACTACCACCATATTGTGGACGATTATCGGGTATTGCGTGATTACGGACACTTTGGCATTCCGATATAAGCGTTGCCATTTATTATTATCGCGCCAATTACAGCTTTATTTTTAAGTACTGCAATCGGAATACGTGAGAGACCCGAAGATCGAGGTTTTTGCAGCCGGTTCGCATTGCACATTGCCGTCGCATCGGGCGGGTCACTAATTATATACGGTTGCCTCGAAGGCCGTTGCTGGTGAACCATGATGAAGCGTTACACCCTCAGTTTACGATTGACGATAAATTACAGAGAGGCGAATTAGCTGGAAAATTTGTTATTAATTACGTACGAGTGCCGTATCATTGAGATTACAATAACAGTCATTGAAATTGTTATCATTTTTTTATTATATAGTATTACTTATATTAAAATGATTGAAGATTGGAGCTGCATCTCATACATTATGAAACGAAAATGTTGACAGCGTCTTGCACGTGAAATTATTATAAAGAAAAAGCTGATGAAAAAGAGGGTAATGCTATAAAATTTTATTTTTAGACATATTATATGGAATAAAATGTGTATCTATTATTCTTCCATGTAAAAATAGAATTAAAACAATAGAAAGGGCTTTATAAAATATTTGTCAGAAAGTAAACTTAAAAAAAAAATTTTTTTTAATTTTTAAATATAAAAAAATTAGCCGCAAAAAAATTTGTACAATTGAAATTATTCATAACATTAATTTGTCAAAAAAATGTACTCGCTGTTTAAATCGCACTCTCTCGTTTATAGAATATACATTTACTTATAAATAGCTTAAATTATAAATTTATAATCAACATTGTAAGCGTTCTAAGCTCTTCCTAAGTCGCCATATCTTTCGTTAAAGTGTGTCAATAAGTGTCATTCGCTTCCTAAACTGCCATTGCAACGAGTAAAAAAGTTCGCATATATTTAATGTTATGTAGATAACACGAACGAGACGATGCTACGCCACTGTCTGACATTATCGGTGAGATTAATAACCGGAACGATTTAACGAAAAAAAAAAAAAATATATATATATATATATTTAACTAGATAACATGGCACTTTTTTTCGTACATGCGTGAGTATCGTGCGTAAAACGCGCGTACTACATCAAATAATAATTAAATTTCGATATCGGCCGCTGTCAAACTTGAATAGAAAATAGCATCGAAAAATGCTAAAATAAGAATCCCTGACCGGTATATCATATTCGCGACGGGTTATCACCGACGACCTCTTGTCTCTTCTCTTGGAGCATCTCGGTCCCGCTGCAGGGAACGATCTTTGGAAATTCGTTCGTACGAATTTCCTTCCCTCGCGAAGTCTTTCCTTCCTTCTCGCCGAGTCTTTTCTATGCATACGCATCTCCTACACTGGAAAAAATTTGTTAGTTTGACTAAAGCTTTCAACTAAATATTATTTTGTTAATTGAACATATAAGAAATATTTAAATTAAATGTAACATATTAAATCTAACAAAACGTATATTTGACTTAAAGTTGAAAGATTTAGTTAACACACTTTTTTTTCAGTGTGCGTTAACTCTGATTCTATTAATTGTCTTGTTTTGTAACGACAATATGTTGTAATCTTTTTACATTTTCTCTTCTAAGACATTTTAATGCTCATTTATAACGTATATTAAAGCTTTCTATATTTTTTGATACATAAATGCGCTGATTGATTTTGTTGATCAATTATCCGACAATAATTGAAGGAAAGTCACAGGATATTTTTTTATTTTGATTATTTAATAATTTTCTCGAATTATAGAGGACTTTTACATTAAGATGAAGAATGCGCGAATATTCTTACGAGATTGATGGCTAGCTGCACTTAACTTTTGCATCTAATTCTATGTATCATTATTTTCATATCTTGCATAAATCGTTTGTATATTTGTGCGCATATAAATTGTTTAATTTGTGTTATTTTAATCTGTAAATTTCATATCTTCACTTCTTGTTTTCAATGCATTTCCATATCTTTTCTTATTTATATGAGTCGTATTCGTTGTACTTTCTCTTGTCTGTCACTGTTGTATTCAACTTTCGTCATAATCTTTTCCTTATTTTATCTTTGCTACTTTTCACCCGCTTTTATTTACAAATTTATTCCCTAGTTATTTACATTTAGTGCCCGATATATGTGTGACGTGACTTTATTTTCTCGAACTGCTTCCAAAAACTCAGATATTGCCTCTTACATTAGTCTTTTCTATTATCGCGTTTCCTCTTTTCCTCTCTTTGAAGTCGTCGATTGCATTTTGTATTCTCCTGTAATCACTTCCTTACTTTCTTTATCCGCGTCTGTTTTCTACAATTTTCACGTGTACCGTT